TAGCGAAAAGTATGTAGCGCTACATACTTTGCTTTGAGTACCCTTAATGGTTAAGTGCGCGCAGATTTGAACAAAAGATGATAGAAAGAGGATAAGGGGGGAACAGTAAAGACTCATATTTGACCCATATTTGATTGTACAAAACTTTCCATTCAATTGATGGACCAGTTGTAACGTTCATGGTCTAAACATATAAGAGTAAATGGTCAGAATAGGTACAAAACCTAAGTGTACAAATAGCTACTGACCATCCATGAATTTGCTGACAACCTTGAATAAGAAATCATTGCCCAAAGGATGATCCCAGCTGGCGGCTACGTACCATTTAACTTGACGAGTGCCAGGGATTGAGCGGGTTGTAAGCAGCACGGTGTATTTGCACTTTGTTAGACCTTTGAGAAAATTGATAGGGTTTGAGCTGAGTTTCAGTTGGATGGGAAGAAGCAAAAGGGGATTTCTGGAGTTGCAGAGAGGATTGGTGGAGCAATGGTTGAACTGTACTCATGTCAAGAGGTTGAAAATGTGGCATTGTGCAAAGGCAGGTAGAGATTGTTGCAAGGTGCTAAACAATAGCCACACAAAGTGTTGGACACAAAGTGTGGAAAAACTATGTTTCTTGATTGAAGCTCAAAGATATGTACTTTTAACCCAAAAACATAGTTTTCCCTGGTTGTGTGAAGTTGTGAAAAAAGAAAAGAAAACTACGCACAGCAAAGTATACACAACTTTGAGTACCGTAATTGTGCAAAGGCGGGTAGAGATTGTTGCAAGGTGCTAAACAATAGCCACACAAAGTGTTGGACATGAAGTAATGGATAGTCATGTACCATGTCTGACTGATATTTGAGGCAAGGGGTCAAGCAAACAATAGTGATGAGGTTGGAAAAAGAGGCTTTTAGAAAGTCCAGAGTGAAGAGTGCTTTTCATCTACTTGCAACAATAAGAACAGAAGAGTTGCTGGTGGTAGCACTTTTGGAAAAAGCTGACGTACGTGTGGTGCATGCAGAGGCTTTTGAGAGTTCTGGATAAAACAGTTCTTATCATCTAAGCACAACAAAATAAAAGTAAGAGATGTGCGGAGTTGGCACATGTGCAAAGGCTAACATCAGCTATGATCAAAAGTACAGGGGATGCATACAGGGCTTTTTTGAAAGGCATAAGGCGTATAAAACAACAACACATGATGCAGGTTGTGAAAAGTATAGGTGTTGTATGTGATTGAGAAAATCAATAATATAGCATTGAAAAGATCAGACGCACAGGAGAGAATTTTTGGACATTATGAAAGGAACAGTGCATTTCATTGGCTCTCAAGGACATGGACAGAAGAGGTGGGGTATGAATCATGATAGAGCTTTTGTGAAAAGCCAACATGATGTAGAAGGAAGACAAAAAGTCACAGGGTGGTCATCTAGAACAGGATGCAGCAAGTATAAGGCATAGGAAAGGATATAAATAGAGGGTCTCATTTGATGGTTTGAATCAGCATTGTTCAAAGCTACCCACGGCTGCACTTATGTGAGCCTCAAGTGAGAAGCAGAGAGATCCCAGTGTTTCACCAGCCTGAATGCTGAAACCTGTCAAATTGACGCAGGGTTCAGTGATTTTGGGGGGTGAATACGGATTTAAGAATATTAATTTGAAGCCAGATTTTGTTGAAGGAGCTATAGGACCCATTAGATTGCTATGTACAAGATTGAGAAGTCCCGGAGAATGATGAAAAGGATGGGTAGATGGTGATTGGGCAAGCTTTCCCAATGTACCAGAATCACAAGGAAGAAAGTTCTTTCTAGACAATGACAACAATTTGTCTCTTCACAAGAATTGAATAACAGCATCAGGATGGAGATGGCCTAAATGCTGATGCCATACACCATGTCTGTGTGGTGTTTGCTCATCAAAAAGTGCACACAAGTTGCCTTTGTGCCTCAAAGGCAGTCCATATGCACTTGTTGTCAAGCGACTGCCACAAGGACATGGTGATAGAGATGAAAATTTCTCAGGATCAGTGTATGAGAAAAACACTGCATAGGATGAAAATCAAGGTCAGACGTCCAGGGTCAATTGGTCTTGGTGTTTTGAAACATTCAAAGAACCTTGTTGCCTGATGAGTCTGTGATTGTGCCTATATTTTTGTTAAAATTGGTGTTGAGACCATTTTCACAAAGTTGACGGATTGAAATTGAATTGCCAGTCAGCTTTGGATAATACAAGACATCTCAAAGAACAAGTGAACCAAACCTGACTGTTCCTTTGTGACTTGTCAAAATTTCTCCATCTTGAGATGCAACTCCAACCCAACTTGGTCAAATGTGTTGTAGATCAGATAGCATAGAATGGTCGGAGAACATATGGCTAGTAGCACTAGTGTCACAAATGATAGGTGAAGATACTGAGGTTGAAGCAGAAAAGGCAGACTTCTAGTAAGACATGTCCTCATTGGCTTCAGCTATGGACTGGGAAAATTGAGCCAATTGATTTGAGTTTGCATGATTAGAACTGTTTGATGTCATTGTCTTTTTGTGTTCAAGAAAAGCTTGATAGTGTTGGGCTCTACAATTCTCATCAGTGTGTCCAATGTGTCCAAGTGAGCATTTCAGCTGAGAGTTGGAGGTTGATGCCTGATCTCCTTGTTTCTTCTTACCAACTCAAGGTTTTGAATTGTTGTAGGCTGAAGCAGCAGATAGAGCATTGTCTGAACTGCTTGATGCCGCATTTTGATCATCTTTGATCTTAAGTAATGAGTATAATCTAGCTAAAGTGAGAGTCTCAAAATTTGTGAGTAAGGTTAGGACCAAAGGAGTGTACTCATATTATGGAAGTGATTTGATGAGTATAATAGCTACAAATGGCTCTGAGGTTTTAAAATCCAGAGTTCCTGATAAATTACCAAGTAGATTGTTGTGAATCTTTCTAAACCTAGCAATGTGATAAGATAGATTGTCATCAGAGTTCATCCACAGCGGCATAGTCATGAGATCAGAGAACAAGTGGACAGTTGATAATCCCCCCGCATCATCATGATGAGTACACAACATCTTGAAAGCATCTCTAAGAGATTTGGTCTGAAAATCTTTTAACTCATCTGGATTGGTTGGTGGTTTCAAGTCATTAAGAATAAATCTCAATAGATGCTGACCACCTAGAATAGTTGTTAAACATAACTTCCAGTCATCAAAAGTCAAAAGTTTAAGAATATGAGAGTAGGTATTTAACAAAAAATCTTTTTGATTGGATGAACTAGTTGTCATTTTGAATGTTGGAAAGGGTATAGTATTTTTTGGTGAAGGTTGAGATGTTTCAACAGGTGGGTTAGAGCATCCCCAGTGGTCTCCCGATTCTGTGAGGTCTTAGAACAGACCCCCAATGTTGATTTTTAGATGTAGGGGGTCAAAAAAAAGAACGTTGCACAGTGCTCTAGTCAAGGGTCAACCCTTGATTGAGTGATATGAGCATGCTTATACTCAATCACCTAGTTTGATTTTTGAGTCAAACATATTCTGTATTTGTCATGTGGAAACATCTGCACGTGATGTGGAGACCCCGCCTAGACCTCGCAGATGTGGAGGGCCCCTCTCAAAATCTGGAGACTCTTGATGTCTAACCCCCAATAATGCAAGGTCCGCTGGAGTGGTTTTTTGCAATTTGACCCCCCACATTGTCAAGAACCCGCAGAATTGGGAGACCGTTGGGGATGCTCTTAGAGGGACTAGAATTGCTTGGTTTGGAATCTGAAATAGGGCTGGTAGAGCTCATTTACCGCCAAGTGAATACAATCTTGGAGAATGACTAGAAATTGTAAGGTCTGAATCTGAAATGAGGAGGATGCATTGGAATACTTACCGCAGACGTGGATCACACTGGGCTCATAACCTGTATCAAATCTGTCAGAGCAGGGATTTGATTAGGATCCAGATCAAACCTTGCATCTAGTCACAATCCCACAAATTCAAATTCTCACCTTTGTCCAAGAACAATTGAGAAGATTTTAAAATCCATTGCTCCTTCAGGTATAAGTAGCAATACACGATGATTAAAGTTAGGTTTAGAATGATTACATCAATTATTGTTAACATAACATCTACAGACATGTCATGAGATTGAAATGAGAAAGAGATTACCCAGACATAAAGGTTCATAATTGTGAAATCTAAATTGAATTGTACACCTTTACTTTAACATCAATAAGTGAACAAGTGTTTAGCTCTCATTGAAGATGATCATCAGATGAAGTATCCGAGATGTAGTATAGTATAGTATAGTATAGTATAGTATAGTATAGTATAGTATAGTATAGTATAGTATAGTATAGTATAGTATAGTATAGTATAGTATAGTATACTATAGTATAGTATAGTATAGTATAGTATAGTATAGTATAGTATAGTATAGTATAGTATAGTATAGTATAGTATAGTATAGTATAGTATAGTATAGTATAGTATAGTATAGTATAGTATAGTATAGTATAGTATAGTATAGTATAGTATAGTATAGTATAGTATAGTATAGTATAGTATAGTATAGTATAGTATAGTATAGTATAGTATAGTATAGTATAGTATAGTGGCAGCCTTGATACTCATCACCAAATGAGTAATAGATCATTGTATGTCTTGAATTCAATAACAATTAAAGCCTTCAAAATCTTATATAAACAATACACACAATTCTTCAATTTAAAACAAAAAAATCTATTATTAAGACAACAACAAAAAAGATCAACAAGTTCATAAAAAACAAAATCAAATAATAAACAAAAAATCAAAAATCAATCAATTGATTTTTTTTGAAAACCTTTTTTTATAACAAATCAAAAAATAATTTTTACTTTTAAACTCTACAAAATTTCTATTTTTCTTGATTCATGAATTCTAAACAGAAAAATATAAAAATAAAATATAAAAACCAAGCATATGCGCATATATATATATCTGTATATAAAGTAAAAAGAATCATTTCTTCTTCATTTTATTCTTTCATTATCATCATCATCATTATCATGATTTCTTCAATTGATAATTAATCACCACATCACCACCTTTTGTCCAAACCCATTGTTTTACAGCTCCTAAACTCATTCTCCATGGGATTGATGTTCCATTACAGAACAATTCGATTTCATCTTCCATCTTTCTAGTTTGAACTGCTGTTTGTGGTTGTGGTTGTGGTTGTGGTTGTGTTGGTTGTGTTGATTGAGGAGTTTCATCTAATGGTTCAAGTTCAAGTTTTTGTGAAATATATCCTATCACTTTTCTCATTCTCAAAACCCTTGCTGCTGTCAATCTCGCATTTCTGAAATCCACAAAAAAAAGTAAACAAAAAACATCATCATCAGATTCTGTAGTAAAAGACTTGCTCAAAAACATCAGGTGGTGAATTAGGGGAAACTATATTTACCCATTTGGTAATTCATTCAATCCTCCACCTTCGATAGGCATCAAAACAAAGGTCACTTTCAAAGAATTACTTTCTTTCTCCTTGATGATCGTTCGATTCCCTAAAAGATACTCTAATAACCAACCAGGTCCAACCATTTCTAATGCCATCCAATCTGCTTCTGCTTCATCTTCATCTTCATCTTCCTTGACCAATCCTCTATACCTTACCTCCCATGCTCCTGACTCATTTCCAGCTTCTGAAATCAAAATCATGATATCTGATGTTAATTTAATCTTAGGTGCGTCTATCTCTCCAATCGGTTGAAATGGCTTAGAAAAGATACTCTGAATCAATTGGTTTTGCATCTTGGTTCTTTCCAATGATATACTATGTTCTCTTGCATCCGAATTCGTCCTGCTTAGTGGTGTCCTTTCAACAGCTCCATTATTACTATCCTTATTCTGGTTAATATTTGAGGTTCCGCTAATGATAGAAGATGCCGAAGATGCGTTGATATCCTGACTTGGCCTTCGTCTTTGACCTCGGCTTAAGCCTCGTAATCGCACAAAGATACTCGCTGTGGCCGTGGGCCCAATGATATTGGTGTTTGTACTGAGGCTTGGGCTACTGGGTCCATTCAAGAGGCTTGTGGTCAATGCCTCGGTCGCAAGTTCTTCACGCGGTGATCGAGTATCAAGATTTTGAGCTGATGTAGGAAAAAGTGAACCTTGGGAGCTATTGTCATTTGACTTGCTATATGTAGCTGGAGGTCTTTTGTCTGTATGAGGTAAATTATTTGAAGTTGGAGGTTGATCTTCATCTTCAGGAGCTTCGACCAACATTGGAAGTGCTGGATGTGTTTCAGATGAATCATTCAAAGGTTGGCGAGGGGACATGCCAGTGCCCGGATCACCTAATCGATTCTTCATCGTGGTCGAACATTCGGGCGATTTGAGATCAGGTGGTAGCGCGGGGTTAATGGCAGCTGTGGCAGGACTTATAGTCATTCCCGGTGTTCTAGGCACACTACCACGCCTGTGGTCATTGAGTCCATGGGAAGAGGAATTACCACCAGCGAAATAACAAGATGAGTCCGGCAGACGAGCTGAAGGGGGTAAGACAACTGATGTCGTGCTAGAACTCTTGGAGCCTGTATTGGTGGTTGGGTGTCGAAGTTTGATGTGATAGTTGACGAAACCATTGAAAAGATTCTTCAAGATCCATTTTCCTAAACAGATTCGATGGTCATCCTTCATTTCTGACAACAACTCCGGTGCGATATCCGCCTCATCAGCGTAAACTTCAGCATCAAAACATCGAGATTCTTCCAAATGGACCGTTAATAGTCCGGTTTGGATTTCCACTGAGCACCAATTAGCGATCGAAGCTTCACCTTCGATTCGGTCTTTGACTAATTGTAGCAGATCTGTCGCCAAAACAGTAGCTGGCTTTTGATTTGCGGGCGTGTAAGCAGATTGGCTACCACTTGAAGTCGACAAGATATCAGATGAATCGGACGAAATTACGCTTGAATTTTCAGTGGTGTTTGACTTGGGCCCTGAAGCACTCAATCCTTCGGTGGTGAAGATTCCTTTACAGACACAATATATGATATCCCAAAGGGCCAATTGCCCCACAGTGTCAATAGTGATCACGTGCCGGCGATCGTTGAGAAGTGCACACTTGATCAAGCCCGATCGACCGTGAATGATTGCGTCCGGATTGTCGCGAAGTGGGATTGCGTCAGCGGCCGAATCTCGCATACGATACAGTCGCCAGGCTTGTGAGTCGAAGGCAATCGGATCAGGAGGCCCGTTCAAACGAGATGTAACAGCGGTTTCGACAAAAGTTAGTGGTACGTTTACATCTGAGTCGTTGGCCCTGTCTAGGCTCAAAGTGGAGACCGGGAGGGTGGATGGGCCACAGTTGGTGAGAGTGGTACGTCTAGAAAGATTGAGCGATGAAGAAACCGAATGATTTAAGCCGGGTCTGATATGTGGACCTTGCTCTTCCGCTATGGTATGATTCAATGCTGGACCGATTGGGTCATTCGGTGAGATTAGTGGTACCAGCGCATCGAGTGGGATAGAATCTAATGTGGTCTCTTCGACAGTGTTGGCTGTGGATTGATGCTGAAAATAGTCAGTAACACGGACCGATGGCCTGGAAGGTGCGCGAGATGAAGGTGAGACTGAAGAACTGGAATGGGGAACAAGACCCAAGGGTGATATATTGGAAGGGTGGTAGGGATGAAAAATGGGCCGATCTGCAAAGGAAACGACGCCCGGAAAGTGTACTTGAGGGTTGACAGATGTAGAGGTTTGGAAAACTGCGCCTTGAGGAGTTCGATCACTTTCCAATAAAGCTTGGGACTCTTCTGCCTCGTGGGATGCAATCAGAGTGGGGTGCGATGATGACGGTGGGGAAGAATAAAGAGAGTCGTTAGATGTGTCAAAAGGAATATGAAGGAGTTGGGCGGGTTTTCCATGGGTTTGACGACGTTGCATTCGCGTTGGAATATCCTTCCAGCGTTTCACGTTCGAGCTTCCAGTGGCTGTCCAGATAAAGGTATCATCCATACCCACAATTCGTACCACGTTTTGATTACCCATAGATGAGAACATGTTGGACTTGTCATCATCACTATCCACCTTGCATATCGTCACACACTCCCCTTCACTAGGATCACCACAACCTTCAAGATCAACCTTACATACCCAACCAGTCCGGTCACCTGAGTGAAAAACTTCTAACCTCGGATGTTGACTAGCAAGAGCCCAGACTGAAGAAGAATGATGTGAAAAAGTGTGCAAGCAACGTTGCATTCCTACATCCCATAGTTTTACTGTGGCATCACTGGATGCTGAAAGAAGGCGAGTACCGTCGTCGGATAGCAAGAGAGCTCGAACATTATCAGTGTGACCAACAAGCTTTGCCAATCGAACAGACGAGCGCGGATCATAGAGTCGTACTACCCGCGAGGGTGATCCAGCTGCCAGGATTGTACCATTTGGAATAGTAGCGAGGGAGTATATAGAGGAATTGATATTTTCTTCAGGGAAATTGACTGGAGTTGAACACGCGTGGGGTAAATGCAAAGATCTTTGAGGTAAGTAAAAGTGAATTGATGTGAGTGAAGTATGATGAGATGCACATAGGACGGACCAACAGGATGAAGCCGGCCCTCATGAATATCCCAGACTTTGATCTTGCAATCCAAGCCACCACTTGCAACCCACTTTCCTTGACGACTGTGAGCCAAACATTTGACATAATCACTATGTGACCCTATGGTGATAGGAGATAGAGCGAGATGCGGAGAATGTGGAGACCATGCTTTTAGGGTACGATCTGAGGAGGCAGAGATCACTGTTTGCCAAAACAAAAATAGCTTATCAATATATGCAAGACTGGCAGAAGATCCAAATCAACTGTGATAAATGAACTCAACTCACGAGTTTGATTATGATTGCAGAGAACAATATCATTGCACCAATCGGTGTGACTTTGTACACATTGCCGAAGGGTGGTTGGAGGAAGTGGAGCCTGAATTTGTAAGAGAAAAACGATAAGGTAAATGAATCTCCTTTAAGTAGGTATCTGATTTTGAATCCGAGTAAGTAAAGGAGATGACCTGTGAAAGCTTTTGCTGATCAATTTCATATCGATTCTCGTAGATGATATCTTGATTAGAAGATGAGATAGGATCTTGAGAAGTCTTGGGTACGGACTGATTTGAAGGAGATTGATCGAATCGATAAGAATCTAAATCTTGAGCTTCAGATGATGTAGAATGATTTGTAGAGGAGTTTGATTTGAGAATTGGAGGATAGGGAGGTGATGATCGAAGTTTAGTAGGAATCGAGAGTTCCCAAGCAGCAACTAATCCATCTTTTGAACCAGTATATAGAATACCTTGAGGTCCATCTTGATCTTGAATCTGAGTTGAGAAATCAATTGCAAATGCATTGATACCTAAAGAATGACGTGGTAAGTGATCTGAGATTGATTGAGATTGATTTAGATGATTCGAATGATTTGATCCGACTGGAATGATAAGTGGTCGTGGATCAAAATGTCGTGATGGATGACGAGCTTGACCAGGTGAAGGGATTTGTAAGATAGGAAGTTGAGATTGATTTGATGAAGAAGAAGCAGATAATGGGAGTGAATATGATACTCTTCTGTTTGAATGATGAATAGATTTATGATTAGAATTGCTTGAGTTAGTTGCCATCGATTTGATAGTTTGGAAGTGTTTCAGTCAGTGATGATGGATGATGGATGGTTGATGGATGTTGATGGTCAATGGTGGTTAAGCTGATGGTCGACTTCTTATGGTTCGCTGTATGCACTATCGATCACTCGGTCAACTCATTCAGTCAAAATGCACTTTTAAAGCATTTATATTTAATCCAATCAGAAAACTGCATTTTGCAAAACAACAATTCCTCATCTCATCTTACATTTGAATCTCAATCTCCACACAGCTCAACAACAAATCAACTTAGTCCATACCTCAGTCTCATTCCACTGATAATATTCCTCAAATATAAAAATCCTCTTGGTATACTTGAAATCCTAGTGTATAACTTCTTTCAATAATGAAATTCACAAAAAAATATCTTCACAAATACAAGGTTATAAAACTTTCAGTTTCTTAAGACTAGATATATAAAATTATAAGGGTAATCCACATAAATCCCTACAAATCTTTACAACCTTTTTGCCCTTTTGTCTTGCTTCTCTAGTATCTATTGTCAAATGAAATTATAAAAATTTCAAAAAAAAAAAAAAATAGATTAGATCTCTAAAACCAAAATCACAGAATTGTTTTGATTTGTTTGGTGAATTGGAGGACATACCTGGTCTTGTCAGATCACAAACTGGTAAATTGAAACTACATTTTGCGTCTAATCTTATTGGTCTAGATCTACATCAAGTTTAAGATCAAGAAAAGATAAATCATCAGAAACTTATTGATAAAGTAAACATATATATTACTTACGAATTCCAAACATCAAATTCAAATTCATGATTCTCTTCTTGACATTTCCATGCTCTTTCAGTTAAGAATCCAGTAGTAAAATTATATTTTTCTAATACTAATCTTCCATTATGAATCTTTTTAACTAATCTATCTGAACTTCCAACTCTTACTATATTCATCATGCTAAAAATTATTTTGGTTAAAAATCAAATCATCATCTTGGTTGACGGGGATTTTACGTACATGTTGTCTGGACCACAGTATGATAGTTCATCTTCTAGATCAAATGCTCCATTAGGTCCTGATTGATCACAAGTGTGCTAAGATACTCTAGGTCAGCTAAAGCTGATAAAACCTTGAAAAAGACATCTTTAGCATTGAGATAATACTCACACTTCCACGAGTGATAAAGAATTTCTTTGTTTTGAAACAACATTAAAGAGAAAAAAACACAAGTTAGTTTGAATTGAAAAGAAGTAGAGAAGTTTTTAAGGATCAAAAGAAAATCCAAACCTGTTTTTCCCAAATACTTGAGAGTAGATGTAATTCGATTGAAAGTTTCATTTCATTTTGTTCATTTGCAGCAAAATCAATAAAATTTCGATAATGAACATGATCAATTAAAAATGCTCCATCTTTTAATGCTCCATAAATTCCTTCTTCTGTACTGATACCTGAACTAACGATTTCTTCTGAACTTTTGGTTAATTGACTTTGGATTAAGTCTTGATTTTTTGATAATTGATAAATGAAATAAGTCCACTAATATATTTTAAAGAAGAAGTCAACAATAAGACTCTCAGATCACTTTAAAGAGGTTGTATACCTTATCATGTTGGTTTGTAGGATCTGGTACGATACTATAATCCATCACATTTGCAACACCAGCTGAGAATCCTACTTGTCCTTGAATCAATTGCATCCACCATTTTGTGAGTGAGATATGACCTTCAGTAGGATGAACTTTCGCAATATTAGAAAATAATGTTAGGTATGCTTTTGCGATTGCCCAATCATCATTTTCATCTGGAAAGAAGTCTGAAATCTTGGTTTCACAAGCGGCAGAGAAAATAGATCGATCAGTTTGCAATTTTTTTGGCGATCTATGTTGTTTGATGTGTCGAAGGAACAGACCATTGAGGGTATAATACCTAACCAAATAGTAAAGAGCAAGAGTCAGTAAAGCGATAGGATTTGTCAAATATTGAAAAAGTCTTATAAACACCTTGCATCATAGTCATTGCGAATCCAATAGCTCTATAAATGATATTCATAAAAGAGTTCCATTCCTGTGCTGCTACAAGTAAATACCAATCTTTACCTCTGACCGGTGAGCAGAGCTAAAGTTCAAAGAAAAAGATGGAAACAAATGTTCAAAAAATTGAGAGATCTTGATTCAAGAGTTTATGAATTAGTTCGTTAGATTTACTTGTCCGGCGTAACACATCTTATCAATCCCACAATCGAAATTTAGTAATCTAGATTTGATGGCGAGTTGCTACTGAGTTAAAGTGAAGATGTTTCCCAAAAGAATAATGAATTAGGATGTAAGACCTTTCAAATTTAAAATCAAAAGCTGTCTCTTCACCTCTAAGCAAATTTCTCGTCCACCAGGATAATTGAGCAAATATCGATTTAAACCTAATTCTGACCAAAGCTCAGGACTAAGAGTACGAGGTCGACAGGGATCTTGATCAGCATCATCTATAAATTGATGACTAGTTTCGGATAACATTGGCATCATTATTGATGAAGAATTTGAATTGGTACTAAGGTGTTGTTGAACCGGTGGAGTGAATGAAGTAGTTGAATAGACTGGAGGTAGATCTGCCACTGGTTCTGGAGGAGTTGTTAGGCATTTCGAGGTTGAGCTCAAGGATAAGAAAAGTAGGAATGAGGAGGTTAAAGGTTGAGGCATTTTGAGTGACACCAAGATTAGCAATGGGGATATCAACTTGGCTAAGTGGATATCACCACTAGCCGTAGATGCTTGATGAGAGTATGGAACGAGAGTCTAAAATCTAAAAGTCGATTGAGTTGCCAATCCCACGTCACTTGATCATGAAGTGATCGAGAGTGTGATGTTTCGACTTCGTGGCATAAGGATACTTTGGGTCAAACAACCCAGCGGCTGAGCTCGAGTGAGTCAGTTAAAACTTTAGTCTGTGTCATTGAAAACTTTTTTTCAGACACTAGAAATATTATTGGGATTGATAATCCGTTTCATTCCTTTCTTCATCGGATCATCCTCCACTACAACTGTGTTCTCACAGCAGGATACCTATATAGGTCATGATGACTGATGAAAAAACCCACCGCCGATGAGGAATTAATGGCAAGGTATCTTATACAAACGGCAATATGATGGCAAAGGTTATATGTAAGGGTTAAAATGAACTAAAGCTGGGCTTGAGACTGGAACTAAGAGCCAAGAGAACTGTAGCATGAAGCTAGGTCAAAAAATTATCTTGGTACACATCCGCAACTTCCCCCTCGAAACATTCATAACCGGTATGATCCTCACCCGTAGTTTGGAGGAATCCGATGTTTTATCTGATCTGCGACTTACTGCTCCTCACTGTGATGAATTTTTTAAAAGTCAACGTTTCTGATCTTGTTTCTTCCTTCCTCCTGCGACTTTCACTTCCGAACAATTCCTTGGAATCTTGACCTCCCTTTCCAAAGAATTTCCCATCCTATCATTTATACGTCTCTATCTATTGTGCTTCAGGAGCGAAAACAAAAAGCCTGATTTGGATTTGATTTTCTTAGATTCATACATACCTTCATTCCAAAAAAGAAAAAACATTAGAGCGTTCACTATCTTTATAGCTGTTTAAATCTTTGGACTTTGGCTTCCTTGGGCTATCCTATACCAACTTCATCATTCGCATCTGATTACATACCCTCGCATTTCCTCAAACACGAGTAAATTTTTCTAGCCATCAGCCTTACTCTGAAACACATTCATTCGACACTCCATTCGGAAATTACTTACCAAAGACGACTTTAAAAAATGCACATTTCTCAACAAGTTCAGAGGTCTACTTACCTCTCCCTTTACTTTCTCACTTCATACAAAACCTTTGCATTCAACTTCAAAACCTCACCAGACCCAAATCAACTTACCATTCAACCTGGTTGTGATCCTTTACCAATTACCAAAGCTACTTGGATTAACTTGAATTTGGATCTATACCTTGCCAACTATCCTGGTGGTCACAATTTGACTGTTCAAGTTAGTTTCAATCGTCTCTCCCGCATCACTAAGCAATTTTTACTTCAAACTCATGGTGCTTCATCCCAAAAATTCATCTTCAATAGGAATACGCCTCTAGTGTCAAAGCAAATAATTTCAAGTGTGGTATCTCTGAGTGGTGTAATGCTGGCCAGGTAAGATTTTTATATTTATACCTTTCAAAATGTAAATGAAAATACTCAGATAGAACTTATGATACTCTTTCAATTTACCCACAAACAGATGTGCTACCCAGTCAAAGGTCGAGACTGGTATGTTTTATTAGCAGCTCAAATGTGGAATGAGACAGTAAACTCTTTCTATAATGCAATTGGTTATACCATGTCTTTAGTCAGAGGTGAGTCTTTGTTCTTAGCGAAAAAGATCAAAAACTCTCAAACTGATTTGACAATTGACTTCTTACAACCTTTCATCTCCTTTTAGCTAGTTTGGTAGAAGTCATCTCGGGGTTTTTTCCACAACCAAACAACTTGAAGATTTTTTCACAAAAAACGCATTTTGAGATTGGGGCATTAATCGCAGGATTGATTGGCAGTGTATTTGCATTATTACCATTTGTGATTGGAATGCCATCTGCTATCTTTACTTGGGCTGCTGGTTTAAGTTTCATACCATCCGTTTTAGTTACTACTGCTGCTGTTACTACTAATTATAAACCGGCTCCTGAGGTCGATGCTTTCTCTGATGTAAGTTTGTTTCTGTAGCTTTTTCGGTGAAATCTTCTAGAATCCTTGACTGATTAACAGCTTCAATTTTTCTTTCATAAATTAACACATCAAGTGGTCAGAGATCGGTTATATCTTATCAGAACGTCAAAATGAAATTCATAGTGTTCTTAACAAACACGCCCAGTCTGTCCTTGACGCAGGAATCAGTACTCCAGAAGGTTTATTTGGAAGCTTATCGGGAGGACGTTTTTTAGATGTAGATTCTTTCTTCAATCCAGAACAAGTTGAATCTGAGCTTAAGACTACAACAATGTACTTGTCATTTGATCAAGTTTTTAAGTCGATGGTAAGTCTTAAGAAGTCAGATCATATATTTGAGATGTAGAAGATTGAATGAACACGTTTCTTTCCTCAACTTGTTAACTACTTATCTTGCAGGACGCTTTTGTGACTATTGGTAGCGTACGCTTCTGGCATCTACTTCAATTCACAAATTCCAACCGAATGAAACCAAATGACTGACGAGAAAGCTCGTAACATCTTCTATAGGATCCTTGCGAAGGTCCAGGACCAGATGGAGCTAGACAGGGAGATGACGTGTTATCATATTGCAAGAATGGAACGTCAGTATATATTCATACAATTCAATTCTCCCTCCTCTACTTCAACCAATCTGATGTCTCTGTTCACTTCTGCTACTTGATCAACGTTTATTTGAAACACAAGTATGTATAACGTCGTAAGAGCTTCCTCAGGAAAACATCCTAAGGTTATCAACACAATTCCCAATGCGCAAAAAGTGACGAGCAAATTCAGTCTCACAGCTGAACAAATCACTCAAACGTCGGTTGAATGTGCCAGCAATGGTGGTCAACAAAACTCCACGTCAGTCGCTTCATTTTTTTCATTGCTTGAAACAAAGCGAAGATCAGATCTGACCAAGAATGGAATGAATGATATTCAGTCTACCATCTGCGAATGGCTTGCCTAAATGTTTGATCAGTTTACCTGTTTGTGATTGTCGATTAGATATTGTCAAAGCTAACAGAAAGAAACTTGGAACTGTACGAGCTTGTCGTAAAGCAGGAGTCAAGATTTGATCATTTGATTGTGATTTGTTTACTTTTCTCACATTTTAAATCGACTCAAAAAAATTTAGAACATGTAGAAAAAAATTCACATGTCATGTTAGACTTGGGGAGATTCAAACTCATTTTAAATTTTTGTTTTCTAGTCATCTTGCACGTCATTAATTTCTTTTCATTCTTTGGTCTTATGTCTTGGTTCTTCTGGAGTGAATCATGCATTGATATTCATAGATTCTATGATAGATTTTTGACTTGGAAGACCACATGTTCTGCTAAAGAAAAGGCTAGAAAGTTGAGAGGCATAACAAAGCCCTTGAGTGACAACAAACACATCCATTAGGGCATTTCAAGTTAGGATATTTGGGTTACAAACAACCACGTTTTATTTACATATCGCATTGTGGGCTCATTGCCGGATTTTGTTCGTACAATGTAGAATACATTAAGACGCCGTTTGGGTGGATAACCAGATCGAGAATCGGGTACTAAATATTACCCAAGTGATTGCAAAACTTGTTTTTCCATGTGAGTGTCAGCTCAGTCTAAGATGGATAAGAAAGAACACGTCGAGTATCTTTGGAGATGTACTTAATGTATAAGCATCAGGTTTGGTGGGTCTTCCCACTCTCCCCAAGATCTATTCTTCACGACCGCATTTCCCAATTTCACCCCCCCACCACCCTTCTCCCACGAAGCAGTGCTCCAGATATAAACATTCCACCCCTTCATTTCTTCGAAAGCATCTTTGGTGATCCAGAATGTGGCTTCCTGAGCCTTTACACTCCAATAAAATGTACTCACACAGCGTACGTTATGCCTGAGCGCACGCGACTTTACATCCAGATCGCTTCCATCATCATTGAGAATCGATCTTATGTTTTTAGGCAACGATCCAAATGCATTCTCATCGCAGAACACCAGCATCGAGTGTGGGACTTGGCCATCCCATAACTTCGGACAAGGAATCTTGACGATGTACTGTACGACATCCCCCGAGCGAGGAACGGCGGAAGACACTACAAGTCCAGCTCGTAAGATTGTGCGCCATAGTCCAGCCAGGGTGGCAAACTCCAAGATCCATGGCGTGGTGCAAAAAGCTCGTGCCGGGTATACTGTGTCAACGTCTTGTGGGGTGAGGACCTATCATCATACGGTTAATCAGTAAATGATACCTTGATTCAAATTACGTTCAATCAAGCTGACCTGTCGCGGAGGCGGGCGGGCCGTGGTGATGATCTTGCCCGACAAGATGGAGTCGATCAGATTCGAGATCCAGTGAGCCGGGTATCCCAATTCAGACACGTGCTCCAGTAAGCGAAGGAATGCGGTCATATTGAGCGGAGCGTAGATGAGTCCCGGGTCAGTGGTAGACTTGCGTGGATAAGGAAGGCAGATTTTTAGAAAATGCGTGTAGAGCCAATGCAAAAGCTTTGCCTGTGGCATAAGCTGCTCAAAGGTCAAGAGTTTTTGCGGGATACGCTCCCACCGCAAGTACCGCATCAATGGCGACGGACCCTCCTCGTTCGCGGGAGTTACGATGGATAATTCCAGCTGAAAGTGGGACCGGACCAATTTACGATCGTACATGACGAGATACTCGGAGAAATACCGAGAGACGCCTTCAAACTGTGAAGGATTTCGGAGGATGTACGAGGTCACCCCTGTTCCTGGGCCATATTCGAGAATTGGCACACCGTATAGGAAAGACGTGAAAGGGCCACCGGTGTAGTCACTGGTTTCGGTTTCAGTGATATGGCTTGATCAGCTTCATGGTGAAGGATCAAGCAGGAGCAAGACTTACGGAATATTGCTCATGTGGATAAGATGGTATTTATGCGGCCACTTCGCCGACGAAAAGCGATCCTTGGCCTCAGTTTCCGTGGAGCGGTCATGAGCTTGATATCGGATTTTTTCAAGATGATCGCTCATCTCTCCGAAGCAGACCTCCACCGTGATGCGGTTACGAAGGTTAGCGATTGCTTTGCCGATCATCATGAAGTAGGATTCTAAAACACTCATGAGCGTGTTGCCCGGCACCGATGACAGTCCACGATCACCCGCAACACCTTCCAACAGGCTCTCAATGACCCCGCACGGCGAAAAATCCATGTTTGGACGGGGTTGGTATTGTGGCATTGTGTTTTCCTTTTCCCATAAAATGTCGGCCAGCGTGAGGTTGGGTTTCCATTTCCTATCAATATACGAAGATATGCGCCCATCTGCACTACTTTCTTCATTTCGGTAGTCGCGGACAATTTTGGCTAGCTCTGCATCATGTGCATTAAGCAATTTTTCATCTGGTAAGACAATGTAAAATTCATCGTAGACGCGCTTGTCAAACATCAGACGGGGAAATGATGAGTATGGGTCTACGTGAAGGTCTTCGGGCATGTGTATCCTAGCCATCTGTGCTTGGAGTTTATCTAGTGCCGTGATTTCTCGAAAGGCTTCAGTTGAATATGGCCCAGTGTGCTCTTGTTTCCAGGCTTCGAGCCTAGGTCGGACAGCAGCCTGGACCGTAGCAGGAATGTAAACCCAGGGTATTGGCTGCTTGGAATTGTCAAAGGAGTCGAGAAGTCGTTGGATGATTGCTTGAATTCGTTCCCACGCAAAAGCGGGCATAACTTGAGCCATATAAAAATATGACGCCGTGTTGAGTGTCTCGAGCAACTGGTTGGGTTGCCGTTGATCCAACTGGAAAGCTTCTTGACGAGACAATCCCATGGTCAAAGATATATCGTCCAAGAGAGCGAATAAAATCAAGTCTCGTGCCAGTATAGCGGGTTTGACATCCAGAATAGTAAGATGGAGCCTTTGATCAGACTCGTGAGACTTGGGGCCGTAAAAGTCATAATTCAGTATAGTATGCACCATATTACGAGCATCTCCTATCCCGCAGAACATAAACGATACGACTTGGGCGCCCTTTGTTGTTCGCCGGAGTGTCGGGCAGTACAGAGGCTCCGGAATATCGTGGCCAACGGGGTAGTAGTTCCTTTCGTGAGCCAAGTAAGGCCTGTATCTCGGTAAGCGGAAAATGGCATCGCGAAGTGACTCTTTGGCGCTAGAGTCGTCAGGATCGGTGTGGTAACGCCTGGCCTTGGTAAGGCGAGTAAGCAGCTTATGCTTTCGAGGATCATCATCGGGGTCTTGCTCTAGGAGAGCTAGAGCCTCAGTAGAGTATTGTACGCTTTTCGCGTAGTCTCCTGTCTCAAAGGCAGCGGCGGACAGATTCGATAGGGGAGTAGGATCCGAGGGGACGAGTGTTGCAGCTAACTTGTAGGCTACAATGGCTTTTAGAGAGTTTCCATAATCAGTAAAATGAGAAGGTGACGGTCATCAGGTGGAGATGTTGTGAGTCTCACCTTTACTAAGCTGGCAAGCTTTGTAAAAAGCGTTCCCTCGCTGGCGAGCATCCTCTGCACGTTCGGTGTTGGAAGACATGTTGAATATTGATCACGGTTGTATGTAGGTAAGTGTGACTGGAGACTGAGTGAGAATTTTAATGACGAGTCAGGACTCAGGAGGCCTGAGGAGGAGTCCCACGGCTTTCAACTTCGACGTCACACTGCCCCTCTCACTGGTGACTCAAGTCTCAGACTGTGGCAAAGATCTCAAAGATCTGGCAAAGATTCTGTCGCATCAAACAAGTGAGAAATCAGTTGATCTGAGTCATAATCACTGTATTATTAAAGCAAGAACGAATTCAAACGCATACAGCCGACTTCACCTGTGAGGGAATTTAGTCTTAAATGTGCAACACATCAGTGTCACGTGACACGGGGTTCACATGTGACACGGAGTGCGCATGTGGCCGCAGTCGTGCCGCAGTCACTGCGGGTGGGTGTGGACTCTGTGACTTTGACACTGCGGGAATTATTATGTTTGAGACACAATAAGGGCGCGTTCACTTAAGGAATTTCTGACCAGAAATCACATTCTGTAAAATTTTTAATGCAAAAATGAAACATACACCACCAAATAGACACTTTAAATTTTGCAGAATGTGATTTCTCACCAGAAATTGCTTAAGTGAACGTGCCCTAAGGGTACTCAAAGTGTACATACTTTTTGCTATATACTTTTTTTGGCAGGGAAAACAAGGCCAAAAGTATATTTGTTTCTTTTTCCCCGCCAGAAATCTATGTTGGCAGTGAAGACAAGTTGTGGCCGACAACTCCACTATCATCTGCAAGCCAAACCACGTTAGTATGATACAAGCAAACATTGGATACGGACAAGACGGGCACTGAACAATGACAACTAAATACTTGGGTGGCATCCCAGCCACCCACATCATGTATTCAGTCCGGTCCTCCAGTGACTGATTAGGATGGACTCCTTGAATGATCAAAAGTGATAATCCAAGGCGCTTGCGGAGTGATTGTGATATGGTTGCACAAGAGACCTCCAATCCATTCCAGTCAAATCAACAAGCTTGGTTTGCAACTTGCCCAGGTGAATCAATGGGCAATCAACAACTAGATCATGAAGGATGGCAAGGTTCTTGTCAGAGAAACCATGAGGTAGACCAAGGGGCTCATATGTCGCTGGGTCATGGACAATAGATGTTTCCATTGGTACAATCAAGGCTGCCACTATACTATACTATACTATACTATACTAAGACTATACTTGGTATAGTATATTTTAACTATACTGTACTTGAGCTATACTCAGTATAGTATAGTACAACTATACTCATCTATACTATACTATGTTGTGGTAATGGACTTAATGTCAAGTCCTTCACAATCAACTCCTGTGTATGTTCTAAGTAGAGTCAAGCTAGATGTGAGAATCATGTGAGTGTTAGGATATGGAAGTTGTGAATGGTTTCAAGGTGATGATCTAACTCAATCAGGATGAATGAAGTTGTCTAATTGGGAAGGTGGTTGAAATATGAGGAGGTTATGTGTCAGGTCTTTGTGTTTCTTTTCCTCTTTGAGAATAGCCCCTTACAAACTATTGTGCACATGTGTTTCATCCCTGTGCTGAATTTTTCATGTGTGCTGTGTGTGCGTTGAGATTTTTACTCATATACTCTCCCTCTCTTGAGCTCTTTCTTCCTTCCTCACCGTTAGGAATAGATAGCTCAAGAGTACGTACTTTCATTCTTTTTCTATACTCTACTACTTTATCTGGACATGTGCTCATCTATACTCAAATAGTCTTTTCCGTTCCTCTACCCTGCTCATCTGCAGGTAAGGCGTAGATCTCATCCGCTCAGTGTTCCATATTCAAGTCTTTTCATAGAGCTCATTCTTTGTGCCTGTCTGTCCAGGTTCATCACTGCTCTATTGCATTGATTATCATCTGCATCAAATTGCTTCATACTATACTGTGCAGTATAGTTGAACATGCTGATGGAAAACTTGTGTATGACTTGCAACACCGCCACAGTTACTTTACTGTTTACAGTAAAGTAATGGTAAGATAACTTTTTTTTGCAGTATAAGTATCTTGATACTTAGTATTGGTCTGACCAATACTTTACTCCCAGGTCCTTGGGATGGTATCATTGTTTTTGATACCATATTGAGTAAAGTATCAGAAAACCAATACTTTACCCAGCAGTTGCTGGAGAAGTATCAGTCAATAATTTCTCTCATTTAGGCCTAGATACTAAGTACAGTATTGGTATTGTGGCACAAATACCAATACAGTATTGAGTAAAGTAAGAGTATTGCTTCAGGATACTTTACTTGAGGTAGGTCTCGTTGGTATTGTGGTTTTTGATACGGTATTGAGTATAGTATTGGTCAATCAATACTTTACTGCCAACCATATTTTACAGTATTGTTTTCCTGATACTTTACCAGGTATTGCTAATACAATACCAGTAAAGTAACTGTGGTAGTGCTGTGACTTGCAATCACAGGGCAAACTCTACTTTTTTGCAACCTGGTCCTGCCACTATGCAGTGTTGAGGTTGCATAGTACTCAAGAGAGTTGGATGATCTGAAAAAGCAATGGCGCAAATGCACAAAACAGTGACTGATACTTTTGACCGCCCCTCAATTGATATGACTTTTTTGGTTTTTTGTCGCAAGTGCAGTGGAGCGGTGAAAATTTGTATGTCACAATTCATATTGTACACCCACTTCGGTAAAAAAAGTTGCATTAATAATTTAATGCAACTTTTACATCACTATGAGAAATTTTCTCACTGTATGTATATGTAAAATCACACAAGAGTTTGATCATTGGAAACGTTTGGTAATCAGATAGAAAGTGAAATGCGATCAACTTCTCCAGACTATCGATCACAATGATGTCTGTTACCAGTTGGTAAACAAGATCATTGACTTCATCAAGTTCGATGATCAACCAAATCTCACTCTCCAAGCATCACTCTCAACTTATCATTGTACCAGATCTCACTTGTAAACTTCAGTTCTTTTATGAATGTTTCAAACTTTTGAACATGATACATAAATGTGATGAGAACAGTTGAAATTAAAAGTTGAATCACAAAAGTCAGGTTGGATGGTCAAGAAGCTTGAAGTGATTCAAATGAGATAGTTAACAGGTTATGAATTTGGAAACTTTGAGAGTGATTGAGGTTGAAGTGATGATGAGGTGATGTTGGTGGTGATAAGAGAGACAAAATTGGACAAGTACGAGAAAATAGAGTGATAGGTTGATCACAAGAGAGTGATGCAAGAGGTCGCAGTTGCATTCATTTGAAAATATTTGACTTTTAGTCGTTTTCAAGAATGCGCATGATTTTTGCACATATGTGCAAAAATGCATGTGCGCCTTCTTTTGCATTTTGGTTTACCAAATCTGTTTTTTGGGTCACATATGCGACCAAATATCAGTGCAGCTTTTTGGTGGTGCACAGTTGGTCGCACACATCACACACCGGTTACCAAAGTGGGTGGTACTTACACAGTTTGAACACTTCCAAAAATGTCAGTGTCTAGCTGTCTGTCCTATCCTATACATATAAACGGATCCTTTAGCTGGCTTTTTGTGAGTTTACTCAGGCCATTTGCCAGAATATTCTGGGACTCAAGGTGTGGATGAACCACTGCTTGAATTGGATGGGACAGGAAAGCTTGATGAGGGGGTAGGCTGTGGCAATTCTGACAATGAATGGGATAGTGAACCAGATGATTTTGAACCACAAAAGGTACCTAATCACATCCATAAAATTTTCAACATTTCATTACAGATGATTTGCAAAGTAGATCAACTGATCTGTAATAATAGGACATCAATTTCAAAGCAACTATCCATGTTGCAGACACCGCGTCAGTGATGCTCTCTTCGTTTATGCACGTCTTTTGTAGGACACTCATCTCAATATTGTTGGAATACTTACCCTAACATCATATGACTCTAGATGTATTCCTTGTCTTTCTCATGATCATGTGCTTACCATCCTAGTTCACTTCTTATCATTAGTTGATCATCTCATGTTTCTCACCGGATCATCTGATCCTTGACCTGTTTTCTATTGTTCTCATCGTATCTTGTGATCCTTGACTTTGTATCTACACAGCTGTTACATAAAACTTACGTAACAAACTGTGTTTATAAACCACCTAGAGCAGCACAAGGAAAGGGTTTCTTCTTCACCCTTTCCGCATTTCATTCATGTGCTCTAGGTAGGTCTTTTCTTCTCTCAGTCGTGTCTTTTTCTCAATATTGTTGTTTCATGAAATACTAAGGTTACAGACCCTTTCCGCATTTCATTCATGTGCTCTAGTTGATCGCAACAAATATCTCAGTCCACAAACGTACAAAGCCTTTATAGACTATGCCCTCTGCGGGTCAGTGAATTTATTACTTCCACCAATGTGAGAACAAACACTGCTATCCAACTTGCAAAACTGATATTTTATTTTGAAATTAGAGCTCTTTACTTTGCACCCCAGCAATCTACATACCAAGAATACTGCAAAGAGCAGACTGTTGAAGGTCCAGAAAATGACCAATCTTCTGAGTCTTCTGGGATGGATGAAGATTCAGAGAAGGAAGAGTCTTCATGGAAGGAGGAATCTTCTGACAACAAGCACTGTACTCCTTGGCCTGAGTGGGCCAGAGCTCATATAACCCCCCATACCTCTGTAACAGGGTTCAAGACTCTCTCAAGCCCAAAGAGCCTGTACCGCCTGGCCAATAGTAACACCACAGGCATCTATTATGTCCAATAATATTTGAAACTTGATGTGGTGACAGAGTTCACAATAAGTCTCAAATTTGGATTGAAACCTATTAAAATCCAAGCTCCCCTCCTTGCCTTCAATAGGTTTCAATCCAAAAATTGAGACTTATTGCGGACTTGGACACCACAACTTTGCTCAATTGGTTCTCAAACATAATAATTCTGTGGTGTAAGTAAATCTCAATGTTCTAACTGGGGCTATGTGCAACATCTTTGAACAATCTCTGATGTACAATCGATTCAACAAAATGCAGTGCTAATCATTCCCAAACTTACATATTTATGTCACAAGCAAATCATTTCCTCACTAGATGTGACAAATGTAACTACCAAAATCCAAAGCCCTGTTTTTGAGCAGCACAAGGAACTTTGTGTGGATGCCTATATATTTATACGCAAGAACTGGGAGTTACTCACCAGCTTGAATTGTATATTGCTTATCAGACATCTGGCACAAGAGGAGATGTCTCTTGTTGATCAAAACATCCTCATGGATATTTCTCCCTGAAATTATGTTTATCCTGTCATTCACTCTTGTTTCTAATTTTTGTTTCTAAGAGGTATCCTGGATTCCTGAACCGAGCCCAATTCTTGTTGGCCAACACATCCTCATGCATGTTGTGGATATTTGCCCCTGGAGTTACTCTTGTCTTGTCATTCACCCTTTTGTTTCCTAGTTTTGCTTCTAAGATGTAGTCCAATTTGAGCGCAATTCTTGTTGATAATTACACTGAAAGATCTCCATGTATATATGTACATTTCTTAAGTTTTATTATTGCAACACATGTTCATTAATTTTTTATTGGTTTGATTGATTTCTGTTGCACTATTGCTGATAAAGTTGTTTGTAGGGTGTTTATATGAGAGTATCAATATTTTTTGGGATGTAGAAGATGTGGTTGATGAAGCATCATCAAAAAGGTGACCCATTTTTGTCTATTTTTTGCGCCTCCTGTGCCCTCTTGCGCCCTCAGCCAAAATGAGGGCACACCCAACCCCCCTCAGGCGCGCCCGCTTTCTCTCAAGATCGCGCCCACCACATGAGTTCAGACACAGTGAATCGAAGTTGGCACGCAGTGTTAACACAGTGGAATCTGTGAAAGGTCGAAGGACACAAGGCAATGGGGAACGGACATCAGCTACTCTGTAAGGAGGTGCAACAAAAGGTTACGCGACAGACTCCCCCAATGAGTCTTGTCGAACCAATGCGGATATGTTTCATACTCTCATTTTCTCTTCTTCCACCTCTTGTTCCTGCTTATTGTTCACAAAAGATTAATAAAAAAGTGTAATTGAAAATCAACAAAAACATACTTCTATCTAATTACTATCATAATCACATCATTTTTATTTTACTCGTTATTTTTCAAATTTCTCTTATTTTTCTTACTATTGTTCAAACGAATTTTTTATTTCCTGCCCACCACCCTTCTTGTCAGACAACGGGTTTAAGTTCCACGTGGTGCATTCACTTCTCTCATGACTCTGTTGTCTATTTCTCTCGCAGGAGCGGGGAGCCTCCCAGTGGGAGGTTCAGCGCCGCGTGTGGCCACCCACAAGTGCTCCTTCAAAAATCCTCGCGCCCCGGGCCAATCATGCAAATTCAGGCCCCCGGGCCACCATGAGTAGCACAGGTGACCTATTGCCATCAGAGACCATAACTGATTCCGAGAAGGTAATGGTCTCAAGAGGTGTTTGGATGATTGCAAGTTTTTACTTTGTTTAGTGTGATTTCCACTTTAAGACAGAAGTCAGGATCAAGACTGATTGTGGTAAAGGGGTGTACATTACTGACATTCAAAAATTTCTCCTTTAGGATTGTTGGCTGTAGTCTTTCCTGTTCTCCATACAATCACTTTTTCTGGTCATATCTAAAGTGTTGTCTGAGTCTTTCATTGTTTCTTCTTGTCTTTTGTCTAGTCTTATATACCTGGCTTCTCTTGCGCTCTGGGTTTTGTTCCTCTCAGTTAGGAATATAAAAACTCAGAGTAAGTCAAATTTCTACTACACTTCCCACTTTCTTATCCTGGATATTAGCTCACTTGTATCAGTATTTTTTTTCCTCTTCATCATGCACTACTTTAGATAAGGCGTGATCTTATCCGCTCATTCATCCTACTGTCAAGTTCCCTTAGAGCTCATCACTTCACCTGTTCTGTCCAGTTTGTTCCTTGCTCTACTAGTGTTGATTTAAATCCGTTTCAAACAATTTCACCATTTTAGTACCCTCCCTAACCCTAAAACTAACCCAAAGCGGGGGGTCGATGTGGGGTCAGCGCAACCCCGCATCTGAGGCGTCAGCACCTTGCATGTAGTGTAGCATGTGTCTCAGTTAGCACTGGACATGAGGTTTGGATCCCATCAGACACATAATTGCATCTCACCATCTCTAACACATTTGACTTCTTCATTCCACCATATTCTGGTCAAAGATATTTATCCTAGGCATAGGATATATATCTGGGACTGTCTAAGTGTTAAAGGCTCAAAAATTGCCAAACGTCTGGGATTTTCTGTTGTGCCATACAATAATCACTGGTGTTGTGATATCAACTTCTTTGTCGGCTCCTACTTTTTGTATAATTATGTGTCTAAGCAGTTTGTTAATATGTTTATCAGCCCTACTCCTGGGACTTGCCACATAGGCTTGTTTCTTGAGAACTGGTGGGTATGGTTTATCAATGTTCAGTTTAATGAACATTTTGTGACCTACTATTGCGCCTATAGGATTCTTGCCATAAGCAAAGGCTTTCTTGTAAGTTCTGACAAGTTTATTCAAGGCCCCCAGTTTGGAGGGTTCCAATCTAGGTGATATATTGCATTGGTTGAATGCTTCCTCAAATTCTTTGTCTAATTCTTGTGCTATGACTTCTATACAATTTTCTTTAAAGGAATTCAGAAGAAGTTTATTCTTCCTGTTTTCATTTCATCCCATTGTTGGAATATAGCTGCTTAAGATTGCAGTTCTGCTATGTCCAAGTCTTCTGCTGGTTCAACAATTATTGTCACTATTTCTCACAAAACAAATTCATGAATCATAATCTGTCTCAAGAGATTGTAAAGAAGATTCCAAAAAAAAGAACCATCTATGGGCATCAGATTGAAAAGAAAGATTATGTGTGATAAATGTGTCCTTTCAAACAACTGCCAGTGCCACATTTCAACATACAAGAAGAAGTACCATTCCCAACAAAAAATGGCAAAATTCATTTGTTTTCTTTAACGTATGCATACAGGACAAGAAGAAAAATCAGATGAAGCATGTTTAATTCCTACCAAGGACTACCTGATTTGATCAAACCAGTAGACTAGGACTCAAGAGATAACACATTTTTGCCAGATAAACTTGGATAATTGTATGAACAAAAATTTAGTCCATAATTTGATGAGCATATGGACATGTCTCCCTGGTACTCAAAAAAATCATAGCAAATCTTGTGCCCATACAGGCAACAAACGAGTTCTAAATCCAGTCCAGGATCAAGTTAAAACAAATTAGTCTGCATTGCTTATTGATTTCTAATGATTACCCTTCATGAAACTATTTTACAACCTGTTGAACAGTTTACAAAATGAATCAAATTTATTTAAAACATGTACTTTGCTTATCTTGAAGATCTAGATGGGTTTTGTTGAAGCTCTTGCTCAGTTTTATTTTTATTTTTATTTTTTGCGATTCTTATTCAGTTGCAAGCTACTTTCAAGAATACTTTTTGTTGTATGTACATGAGACGAAGAAGCCACTTAAGTGAACAGCAAGTGTAATTTTACGGTCCCAAATCACCTTCATCTGATGTCTGAATTGAGGACCCCAGATTTGAGTTATACAAGCTACATAGTTATCAAAGGATAAGAATTAAACAACTGAAGTGCGAGTAAGGAGTAACCCAATACAATCAGTTTGCTATGAGTGATCAAACCAACAAAGCTTGAGAGCGGACATCACCTGCTACATTTATTCAAAACGATAAATCTACATCACGCTCGGTGATCTTTCCACTCTTCCCAAGACCTTTTCTTGATAACCGCTTTGCCTAACTTCAACCCCTTATCCTCTTGCTCCCAAATATCAGTTCTCCAGATAGAAACGTTCCATTCTTTCATCTCTTCAAAAGCATCTTTGGGGATCCAGAATGTGACTTCCCTGGCTTTGACACTTAAATGGAATGTACTCATACAATGTATTCCCTTATCCCTTAGCGTGTTTAACTTTGAATTTGAAACGATTACCTCATCAATGAGAAGTGATCGGAGTTTTTTAGGTGGCTGTCCGAAAGTTTTTTCATCGTAAAAGACCAGCATCGAGTGCGGTATTTGACCATCCCATACGTCCAAATTAGGAAACTTGACGGTGTAACATACAATATCCTCTACGCGAGGAACAAAGGAGGGCAAGACAAGTCCGACGGGTAAGAGGGAACGCCACAGTCCAGTCAAGGTTGTGAATTCCAGAAGCCATGGTTTCGTGCAAAAGGATCGTGCTGGGTGTCCTGTGTCGACATCTTTTGTTGAAAAAATCTATTGTACTACAATACATCAGTAAACAATTCAAAATGGATCCGGATCAAGCTCAATCAATCAGACTGACCTGTTGCGATGGCGGGCGAGCAGTGGTAGTAATTTGACCCGAAAAGATCGAGTCAATCAGATTCGAGATCCAGTGAGTTGGATATCCCAATTCTGACACGTGCTTCAACAAGCGAACAAACGCCGTCACATTAAGCGGAGCAAAGATAAGTCCCATTCCATCGTCACCCCTGGCACGTGGGTAAGGTAAACATATCTTGAGGAAATGAGTATAGAGCCAGTGTAAAAGCTTTGACTGAGGCATAAGCTGCTCAAAGGTCAAGGCTCGCTCTGGCCGGATCCGCTCCCAGAGGCAGTATCGCATTGAGGGCATCGGATCTGCGGGACTTTCGGGAGTTTCTGGGGAAAGCTTCAGATGAAAGTGAGACTGTATTAATTTACGATCGTACATGAGGAGATACTCGGCGAGAAACTGAGAAAGGGTTTTGAATGATGCCGAGTTTCGAAGGTTACATGAGACAACCCCTGTTCCTGGTCCATGTTCGAGGAGCGGTGTACCGTATAGGAAGGCCGTGAGAGGACCACCAACATAATCACTAGCGGTGAATTCAATCAGATGACTTGCTCTGCTTCACCACGACGGAGGATACAACTGAAATCTAGACTTACGGAATGTTACTCATGTGGATGACATGATATTTGTGTGGCCATTTTGACGAGACCAAGCAATCCTTGGATTCAGCCTCTGTGGCACGAGCAAGAGTTTGATACTGCAGTCTTTCAAGACAATCGGCCATCTCTCCAAGACAGACTTCTACTAACATACGCTCGCGAAGGGCCGAAATCGATTTACCGAGCATGATGAAATAAAATTCTACCACATTCATGAGCTTCTCTCCACATACTGGTGAAGTTCCGTGTTCGCCCATACATCCTTTCATAAGGTTTGCCAGAACTTCAAACGGCGTAAAAGTCATGTCTGGGTGTGGTCTTGTAGAGTTTTCATCCTCCCACACGATATCGGCTAGCGTGATGTTAGGTTTCCATGTCTTGTCAATGTGCGCAGATACACTCGCCTTTATACTCACGTTGTCCTTTGTTTTGAAATAAACTTGGAGCAATTTATCTAGCTCCGGATCGTGCTCGACAATCAGGTTCGGATCGGGTAAGACAATGGTTAAGTCGTCGAAGGTACGCTTGTCGGACTTGAGGTGAGGAAATGGTGAGTGTATTTCATGATTAGGCATAAACGAGCTCCTTCTCATGTTGTTGATCATGATATCTTCTCTGGCGATCTCGCGAAAGCGTTTAGTGGAATATGACGCTCTTGGCTCTCGTTTCCAGGCTTCGAGACTAGGTCGGATAGCGGCCTGGACCGCCTCAGGAACATACACCCAAGGGATCGGTTGCTCGGAATTGTCAAAGGAGTCTAGAAGCCGTTTGATGATTGCATCAATTCGATTCGAAGCATAAGCCGGCATCACATGAGTCGCATAGAAATATCCTGCTACACTGAGCATCTCAAATAAGGACTGGTCCTGCGCTCCTGTTGATTTTATGGCTAGAGATATATCATCCAAGAGAACAAATAGAATCAAATCTCTTGCTAGTATAGCAGCTTTGAAATCCAAGATAGTAAAATGGAGCCTTTGATTAGACTCGGGGGACTGAGGCCCTTCCATGAAATATTGTACCATCGTCTGTAGCATGTTACGAGCATCTCCTATACCGCAGAACATGATCGATACAACTTCGGCATCCTTGGTCGTGCCCTTGAGTGTCTGACCATACTGAGACTCGGGAATATCGTGGCCACAGGCGTAGTAGCTCCTTTCGTTGGTCATATAAGGCCTATATCTTGGCAAGCTCAAAGTGGCATTCCGAATTGACTCTTTGCTAATAGATTCTTCAGGATCGGAGTGGTAACGCTTGGCCTTGTCAAGGCGAGCAAACAACTTTTGCTTTCGGGGATCATCGTCGGCTTCTTTCTCCAGGAGAGCTAGAGCCTCAGTGGCATATCGTACGCTTTTCTCGTAGTCTCCTGCCTCAAAGGTAGCGGCTGATAGATTCGATAGGGGTGTGGGGTCGGAGGGCACGAGTGTTGCAGCTTCTTTATAGGCATCAATGGCTATGAAGAGTTTACACAATCAGTGTCATTCCATGAGGAAACGAGAAGGTAAACGCGCGCAGATATTGAGAGACTTACCTTTACTAAATTGATAAGCTTTGTACAATGTGTTGCCTCGCTGACGAGCTTCTTGTGCCCGCTCGATGTTGCACGACATATTAAACGATGAAGAAGCCAAGAGAGAAGTGACTCCAGAAGAAGTTGCGAGGAAATGTGTGAAACAACCCAATGCTTTTCGTAACGTCCGCGCGCTAGGAGCTACATAAAGCCTATGTAGTATGTATGCACCGGCGTATACAGGACCATGAGCAAAACTGACCCGTAAGGACGATCACTCAAGTTTGCAATCTTATTCGATCAAGACTCTCAATCATCACCTTGGGCTTCACATCTGATAAAAATTCTCCCTCTCAAGGATCGAAAACATCAATCTAATCCGAATTGAATTGAAAGAGAGTATTTGAATTAAACATTTAAAGAAAGACATGCAAAATTGATAAAAAGTTTTAACCATTCCAGATAATTCTAATTCATCATCATAAGACTTGAAAATTCGATTTCAATAGAGACAAAGAACTTTGAAAAAAAGAAACAAGAATCATCAATAAACATATATATAAGATTAAAAAATAGTAAGCAATAAGTAAGCAATAAAGGTAAACGAGAGCAAAACATTTTTTCATCAAAAAAAATCATCATCATCATCATTCCACTCTTCTTTTCTATAAAATCAATCTCTATAGGTTTTCTTTTCTCAAACATTCCATTGATGGGTTAAACCCAAATTCCAAACAATCCTTAACAAAGACTAGATCTGAAAAAAACAAGGAAAGAGAAAGATTCCAAAACAAAGAATGGTGAAATTCATAATTTTTGACCCTACACAACACACACACACACATGATACACGTACATAATCACATCAAAAAGGATAAGAAAGACATAATCAAGGTAGTAAACGAAAAATGAAAGACTGTGAAAAAGAAAGCGAAAAGGAAAAAGCAAAAAGAATCAGAATAAGACGAAGGAAAAATAAATAATCAAGAAATTTTCTTTTTTTTGTCGATCACCAAGGACTAATTGGATTAATTGAGCAAGTCCCAGGTGTATCAGTGGTTGAGACTCTATTCATATCAGCCCCATTAGTATCAGATGAATTAGAATAATTATATCGATTCGAGTTATTCGTTGATCCATTCTCATTCACTCGATTCCCATTCTGTCCACAATCAATTGGGAAAGTCATATTATGAATGATTGGTACTGGCATATGACTTCTCATGTCAGCGTATGGCAACGAACCAAATGCATGAGCAGGTGCGTATAATTGAGATGAATTACTAGTGGAATACATCCCAGGCATTCCAAGCGGAACAGATACCGGAAGGAAGTTTCTTGCCATGTTTGATCCATGTGAAAAATGAGGAGAGTTAAGAAGTTGGGCAGACTGCTGTGTATGATGATTGGTATGAGATTCTGTAGAATGGATATTATCATTTTGTACAGAAGAATGAGGCTGTTGATCTTGTGAGGACTGATTAGCCTGAGAGTGGTATAGCTGTTGTTGGTCTGATTGATTGAAGGACATGCCTCGAGGTAGAGAGGCCGATGAATGAGACGGTTGACTATGATCAAAGACTTCCAATTTCATCGAAGGATTGCGCGAGTCGTCATCTTGGGTGACATGTCCAGATGGTTCGCACGGAACCGAGGGTGGTGATCGATTGATATTCTGAGAAGATGTGTCTTGAGGCGATAAGGGTGGAACAAATTGTGAAGGGTGATACATGTGGACAGGTATTGCTGGATGGCCAAAGGATGCAGGTGATATAAAGTTCGTCTCCTCGGGATACATAGGTCTTCCAAATAGATTACGATCAACAGGGTATACCCATTCAGTTTTCAGCGGCGTATAATTCATGATGCCACCGTTGGTTCCTGTCACACCTGTTGTTTCTAATTGGCAGATCAGATTCTTCGAACCTGAACCTCGGCTGATGAATTTTTGAATGGCTTTCAATTGACTACAAGCTTGAGTGTGATCATTTTGAATACTGTTTTCATCTATATCTACTACTACCATCTCAAACGCCTCGATCGCCATTTCGACGCAACGTGCTCCAATTTGAAAGATTGGCCCCTTTTCTGATTGAAGCAATGATATCCAAGCTGAAGTCATGGCAGCGTGAAAGGTTTTATACCAGCCGTACCACATCCGATGAGTCGTGGGAAACAACTGAACTAGAAGGCGCTGGGCCTCGATGATAACTTGTGAAGATCGAAGACATCTGACTCTTGATGATAATTGATAATCTTTGAGTGAGGTTTTTGACGAGCCTTGAGAAGACTCCCCTATAAATGGGCGATGTAGCAGGAGTAGAATGGTGTTGTGAGATATGGCGAGCATCAAAGCTTGCTTTGCCCATTTCCTATTTCGCACTTTGATGTCCTTGACACCGACCCCAGAGGAAGATGGATAAAATACATTCGAATCCGCAAGTTGAGCGATTTGTGTAGCTTCGAAACTGCCTGGGTCAGGCTCAAATCTCATGTCTGCTGGAATGGCTTTATACCAAGCCTGAGGTTCAAGTTTTAGTCAAGGACTTCGAAGAGGGCAATTTCATGATAAATAGAAGCGTACTCTGATAGCTTTATCTAGCTCGATCACATCGGTATACTTCACATCTTCTTCCCGAGGTGCACCGTCAGTAGAAGCTTGGTTATGCCATCTCCAGCGAGCTTGACGAAAGATGTTGTCCATCATGTGATGAGCGTATTGGCATGCTTCCCTGGTATCAACAAAAAACGAATCAGATCTAAAATGAGCATATCGGGATCGAAGAAGGTCTATAAGACTAACCAATTGTAAACGTGATAAGACATATCCGTGACGCCATTAGGTGGTAGTTCAGGAGCTTCTGGACGCGCATCGGGATGTAACAGGCTCTCTTCATCTCGATCCTGTGGCATGTCCGTATCGTTCAAAGTCACTCCGGCTGGCCAACCGAAGGCGATACTGAGGGATATATCCCAAGTTTGGATCGCCCACCAAATCCTCCGCTTGACTTCCTGATCACGAGTTGATTGCTTCGGGTCCAACTTCTTGGGGTCAATATGCAACCCCAGACACTGCGCTTGCTTGATAAAGCCCCCGATGAAGCACCATGCATCTAAAACGCACAAGAATGATGTTAGTGGATGTGTTAACAGCGATGAATGATTCGCACAGGAGACTCTGAGAGGGGCTAACCTGTACATCGCCCGTTGTTGACCATGTATAATGCTAATATGATTTGTGCTTGAATACACTCTAACGAAGGATGTCCCAAATACGACGCTTTCTTCAAGCAATCCACTGTCAAGGAAGCTAACGAGACGATTGAAATGGAGAGATGAACACAAAGGGGGTAGAGGTGAGCACAGGTCAAACGAAGTAGTCTTGACAAACACATACCAAGTGATCTGGAGTTGATTGATTGCCAATGTTTCAATCGATTACGATACGCTGGCGTGGAATGGTGTGGGTCATTTTCATCACCAAATATACGTCCAGTTAAACAAATCGTGACAGTGATGATGGCTGAGATCACACTTAATTTGTGCATCGGAAAGCCGTGTTGTTCTTGCTTAGAAAGATCAAAGAATTGATTGTAATATCCTATCAAGGTCGGGGTGTGCCAGCCGCTATAGAGGGATGAAAGGCAATGAGTACTCGAGATGCATAAAGACGTGAAAAAAGGAGCACCATTGATAAAGACAAAACACTCACTGGTACAAGCAATCTACTTCCTGTAAGAAGATACGGAGTAGCCTATCGAGATGTTTGATGAGAAGAAGATCAGATACAAGAGCAACACTGTGATCTATTGATTTGAGATAGACCGACGTACTCTTCAGAATATTCCCGACAGGGCAGGAGATCTTGTAGAAAGTCCACTATGCCATCGGGCTTATTGGGTAGATCAAATGCCCACCGTTTTCCGATTTCACCACCGAAGAGCCCCATGTAAGCGACCTTGGTGGTAATCAAGCCACTTTTTTCTCTATTGGTTTGCGGTTGCGCGCTCAGAGTTCGATTGATCTGTGATGGCGAAGTTATTCCTTGAAGCTGTACTCGCAGTAGATGGAGAAAGTCGGCAAGGTATTTTTGTTTTTCGGAGAGAGAGCAGATCAGATCGTGAACCACAATGATGAGATAGTGAACAAGTGAGCATGGGATATATCAGAGTGCTTGACCGACCTTGCGTATGAGTGAACCTGTGGATACATTCCCCAAGAAGACCTTTTGCCCGTTATCACCGTCATCATCATCTTGGATCACGTTGCCGAGTTCAGTCATGCAGGGCGGACAACTTGCAGGACGAAGAATGGGACCATTCATTAAGCTATAATGATAACTGCTTGCTTTATCAGAATCACTATTGATGCTTTCAAGATCTCCTTTGAATGGATAACTCGCACGAAGCGGTTGAGGATGTTGGGTGACAGGGTCGCAAGAGGGCGAGTTGGGTTGAGAACCATTGGTACTACTGTTGGGACGACATTTCCCCTGAACTATATCAAGCATGCTCGAATTTTCGGTTGTTGTTGGACTCCATGGCACGCCGCTGACGGATTGTGAATGCGGTCGAGCATAGGTGGGACTTGTCAAGCCACCACTCGGACTACCCAGATTGGAAGTCTGATCTCTAGGACCACTTCCACCTGCGGATCGCTGTTTAGGATTGGGTCGGCCTTTCAAGCAACGAACCACACCTTCGAGTTCCGCGACGCGGTCTCGTAAACGAATGACTTCCCAAGCTGGATCATTTGTATCGAGATTCCTTGAAATTCAAAAAATGGAATCAGTTTACAGTTACGATGGACTCAATTTTGAAAATGGATATGGGGTGGCGATAAAAAAAACTTTCCCCTGCACAATAATAATTTTGTAAACTTACTCAAGCATTCTGGGATCCTCAGTTTCATAAACGCAAAGTCCTGTTGTTCCAAGGCTTATGCATCTTTTACAAGGACGACCTCGATCACACCTGTTATATTTTCAAAAAAGGCAATATTCAATACGGATAAATACACCAACTTTTGACATTTGAGAGGATAGAAAGATTGAAACATATTGAGAGTGGGATCCATGCTACTAGCTTTGTTGGTAAGAGAGAAGGGGCGATGAAAAGAAAAAGACAAAAAAAAGATTTCGAAAAAAAACAGTCTACACACTTTCGCTTGTTGGTGTGACAAGGTAGACAAGATTGCATAGTCCTATTCCTTTTCCTTTTACGGTGATCATCACGATTACGATCAAATAGACCAGAGTCAGTACTAAAGGTATTAGGCCATTGAGGAATCAGTTGTTGTGAGTTGGGAGAAGTTGAACAACATTGATCAGATCTAGCACCAATCATCATTTCTCGAGATAAAATGATCGGTTGTTCGGCTGTTGAAGAACTACCGAGAGAAGAGTGAGAATTGAAACGAGCATCCGAGGATTTAGAAGATTGATGATTTGAAAGAACGTGAGACGAAGGTGGTGAAAGGGCTAATTGATCGAGTTCAGGTAATGGACCTCCAGATAACCAACGTCCTGACATGGCCGCGGTGGTAGACAAGGAGAAGGATCTAGTGGAATTGAAGTGTATGTTGTGGTGGGTATAGAGAGGTGAATCAACAAATGACGACGAATACTCCTCGCGCGATTCTGCATGGATGGAAGGGAAAGAATTGGGAAAAAAAACACAAGACCACAGAATTTGTAGTAGAATGAAGCGAGATTAAATCCAATCCAAAAAGAAGAATGTCAATCAATTCAATACCTGAAGCTCAAAAAGACTGATTGAAAAGAGTTGAGGGCTTAGAGCTGACTAATGTGTAAAGTTTTAGAATGATCAAGATGATAAGTCAGTGGGTTCAGAGGTAGATCGCGGGTTGGGTTTTTTGAATGGTTGGATATCGAAATCAGTGGATGAAGTTCGGAAGGATGAGAACTGATATTTTGAAGACTGGATGGATCGGAGAAAGGTCGGTATGGCAAATTAAAACTTAACGATCTACAATTGGACTGTCAATTTCGGCATTTCAAAGAAGAAGAAACCCAAAAAAAAGGACCATTGATTGTCTCTTTTAGTCCCTGCGCCTCAAACAAACCAAGTGATCGCTGTGAAGCTTAGGAAAAAAAATCACTCACCAGAATTGCTATTCAAAATCTGAGTTCGGTTTCCTAAAAGTTAAAGCAATGAAGTGAACCATCATAAGTATCTACCCATCATCATGACAAATATCCAATTCAAAAGAAACAAAGATGATGTAATGGACATGTATCATAAAGTTTTCTGGACCGGCCAGAATCATGTAGCTCACACTGTCAAGTAAAGTAAAAGGGAAGGAATTCTGAAGATCTTTTGATTTGATTTGATATCAAGAAAATGAGAGCTCAAGTGGCACGTTGAACTTGAAGTTGAGACAGATTGTGAGAGGAACAATCTAAGATCTCAATGTGTTTTAAAAACTGAGATAGGAAACACATTTTAAAACAATCGATACGTAGTCAATCAATACTAACTAGCTTTACCCTTGGATCTCGAATCGATACTTGTGACTTATCACTTAGGTAGCTTGACTGAGTTCAAGTTGAGTTGAGGGATTTGTAAAGATGAAATGATGGTGTGATTCGAATGTAGTACACCCAATCAGGATTCAGAAATCGTCAATCAGAATCCAGATAGAAGATCGGTTGTTGTCCTGGGGGTCCTTTTAAATTTCACCTTTACTGGGGCTTTCCGTTCGTTAGCAGAATTCAAATGAACATCATGGCACCCCGATCGTTTGGGTTGGACCCTTTGCCCACGTTTCTTGTTGACTAAAGTGGTAAATAAGAGATGAAGAGAAAAAGAGAAAGAACTGAAAGTCTAAAGAAGATGAGCAGAAGTTTAAGGAAAGAAAAGAAAGAAAATTAAATTAAATTAAAGTTTTCTATGATTTGAATAAATCTTATATGTAAGCCTCACCACGAGGTTTAAATGGGTTTCAATTGCGGAAATGAGATAAATTCAATAGGTAAACTGGAGATGTTATGAATCAATTCAAGAAAGAAAAGAAGATCTATAAATTTAATGAACTCACTTCGATTTGGTACTCAAACTTGAACTTGAAGTGACGGTGATTGTGAAGTGGTGAGATAAGATGACTTATAAAGGGTTTTTAAACGTTAGCTTTGTTGATTCACATCTGATGAAAGTTTCTTCTGATTTGGTATCTTCAATCCTCAATCACTTTACTTTTACTCTACGATAGAATCACTTCGCTCGGTCGATTGATAGCAGTACTCCTTTTCTAGAATACGTACACAACGATCAAGAAGAATTTACACGGAAAAACTATTGGTAAGACCAGTCAAACGGAAAAAGAAAAGAAAAGAAACCAGATTAAAACTCATTAAACCATTTTGAAGGATTCTTGAAAACACAGAGAAAACAAGTCATATGTAGACCAAGTACACACTTGATACATAGTATACTCATTTAAACTTCTTACAAAATATTAATCAAAAGTTCAAAACTATAAATTCTCTTGGTTCAAACAAATTTGATCGACTTATTAAACTTTAACGGCATTCTCAAATTTTAAAAAAATCCGGTCATCAAGGCTTCAAAAATTAAGCTATTCAGACTTGATGTATTGTCACGTCGATCAAAAAGAAATAACTCACAGCAACACTCTCAGCAACACTTTCACAGAGGGTGCTTCCTGCTTGACCTCAGTATGAATCAAAGTCAAAGTGTATGTACCCTCATTTTAACGGATGGCTTTGAATAGACTGCAATCAAAAATACCTCATCACGAGATATGTAGATAAAGAGCTCAATTAAATTACAAAGTATTTGATCACTAAATCTGAAATTCATCTTGACCTTGAAAAAATATATGTTGATAATCTTTTCACATTCTCTGCTACAAACAAGTCAACTCTATTCAGGTAAATTCTGATACATTTCTAATCAAGCGGAACTAGATCCTCACGAAGAAGAAGAACACAAAGCTATATCTCTAATTGATCTGATGATGTTTTGTTTGTTTAATAATCATCAAAGCTTATACCACGAAAGATTTGCGGGTCTTATCGTTACAACTTGCAAGGCTGAAGTGGTTGTATGTTCATACACCAATACCACAAAGCAGACACAGATAAAGTGTTTCAAGTTTTAAGATTCAAACCTTAAGAGTACAAGATAACTGATAGAGCAAGATAAATGGTTTTTTTTCGGTATTCTGTCGGAGATCATTTCGGAACTTGTCAGAAGGAATTTTTTTATCCAAAGACGTCATCACTTTATCCTTAGTTTCCTTTTACCAAACAAAAATGATCTTCAATTTTTTATGTGTAAGCCTAATCAGACATTCTTGATTGATTTTAGCTTGTCTGATTAGATTTGATGATCCAACAAAATCTTATCATTTTTCAAGACTCCCCGTGTTGTGTTTCGTTATTCACTCCTTCATATATTTCATAGAAGATAAGTACGTCAACTTTCTTCTGAAATCTTGTATTTTTCAAAAGGAAGATTTTTTTTGTCGAGATAGTATGAAGTAAGATATGCGAAGAAGTGCATCTGTCGGTCTCTCGCTTTGGTAATTAGTATACCTTACTTATAGAATCTAAAGTGGAGGGAAGAAAACCATCTGATCCTTGACGACTCATAGTTCAATCCAAAAAGATTGATCTCGTGCTTCTTATTGATTCAATTTATCGACTAAGAGCTCATGAGCTGATGAGAGAAACTGAGACACGAGTATTTCAGCAAACGAGGTGGAGTACATTGGAGAAGTGACAACTGCAGTCACATACAATGGTACATGAGGACCTCAATGGTACAAAGATCAAAGTGACATACAATCAGTATTGATCACTTTCACTCGTTGATAGTCTGTGGTTAGAAAAGACTAGAACCTATTCTGATATCTCTTGGTTCTTCTTATCTTTTGATATAATCTTTTAATCATCACAATATAAACAAGAAGCGATGTAAAGGCTTGTAAAACCCCACCTTGAGATCTCTGACGTCGACATACTTTCATTCTGTCATGACCCGCTTACATCCTTCACAAACCGATTCTGTCCATATGTATGCCATGAAAGAATGGCAGAATCGTCATAGGGAGTAAGCTAGAAATTGCTTAGAACACTTAAGAAAAGCTTGGCATAGAACGCCCCGAGATCGCGAAGCAGCGATACCAGATCTTTTGCTCTAACCCCGTGAATGCAGTGGGTAACCCCGTATGAGGTTTGAAATTTCGAAGGTTAAGCATAATTTTGAAATCTTATTGATTTTGCTCGATGGTTTCCTTCAGAAATGCTGAATGAATCATTACTGTCTTGAGACATACAAAGTTTCATCCACAGGGTGTCTTTGATAAAGAATTCTTTCACTGTAAACATCTTTCTGTTGTACAAAGTTGTCTCCTTACTCAGACGTCAAGCTTTTGTTGCATAAATTCACATTTGATAGTTTGTGCATAGAAGCGGTTTATATACTTGGCGTTCTCACAGATCTGCAAGAGATAGATGTATGTTTGGCTTTACACAAGATAACCAAGTTTATCAGGGATGACTCGATTGAAATTACATTGGTGATGGCCCGAAGGTCCAATGACAGCTGATAGCCAAGTCGTATGTGTCACGGACGGCCCCTTTCGTACTCCCAGAGTTGAACTTCACTGGGTTAACATTTGGAAAATCAAGCTTTGAATCACTGTAGAAGCCCGACACGAGCTCCACCACGCGGGTGTCTGAGGGGCGAGGACTTGCCAAGTTTATCTAAGCTGTCTGCGTACTTGATGCCATCATCCATGAAGATCAAGAGCAGTCAAGTATTGAGATAAAAAGCCCGATCTGAGTGCGTGACAACACGTTTTCAATTATTATCGGTGACTATGGGAAGTCTTGAAATGAGGTTTGTCTCTTGCTTGCTCGTCGGTACATATATGCGGTGAAGTTGAACCTTTCTTTCACAAAAGAGATCATGAGCACATCTCCTGAGGTCATTGACACCCAATGAATTCTGTGACCGTATCATGCGTAGGTAGGATGTCAAAGATTGACGGTGCATGACATCTTGAATAGACCTTTGGGCTAGCTACAATGTTCCGCTACTCATTCACAGTGACTGCACAGAGGCTTCACCTTGTCTATCACATTTCCAGCTCGACAAATCTTAGCAGTAGAAAACTCAATCAACGGACAAGAAGCAATGAGGCGATATGCAAACCATCATTCAAGATATTGGAAATCAAAGAGACTCTACGCCAGCTACCGCTTTCCTAAAAAGCGTTACAACATGCGAATGAGTTACTTTAGCATCAATGATAACGATCCTGGATGAGAGGCTTTCAAATACTTTTAGACACATGCAACTTTTTGTTGTTTATGCCATAGCGGCAAAATTGCTAATTTGTCTTTGGAGAGTTTGGATCTCTTGCTCTTGATTCGAGAGCTGAAAAAAACAAAATCGTGGAGTCAATAGGGTGTTAGGGTGGCGAGTCTTGTTTGAGCCATCATCAAGCGTTCTCACCATCTCAGAGTTTGTTTTCCTAACTTCCTCCGGAATTTTGGTATCGTAGTCTGGTACTTGCATCTGCTTTTGTAGCTTATCGACAGATAAGTTGATGGCCTCTATCCGTTTAGTGGCCTTTTGAATCTCCTTATCCAAGTCAAGTACTCCCTGGAATCGCGCAAAGGTAACCACCCGTTAAATTCGAATGATTATTTAGAGCTCGATCAGATTAAACTTGAAAGATATCACTTACAGCGACTAGTAGGTGAACAGAAACGTTGGCATTGATGGTCTCAGCCAGACATCCGGCAGGGACTTCTGAAACGCGTGTTACAATCTTTACAGAAGTGCATCCTTTGATCAATGCCTGCACTGTATCAGCCTGGCTTTCCAACAAACTAATAGACTCGGAGTCGGCCGCAGACACGGTGACTGTTTCAGACGCTCAGGAATCAATATACATGTCTTTATCTTGGAAAACTGGCGCAAAAACTAACTTTGCAAGTTGGTTCGAAGACCATATTGAGCTGCGATAGAGCGAACAGCTTTGATAGCAGCAAAGACCAGTTCAAAGTCTTTGAATGACCTATGATCTTGGAAGACGGTGCTGTGGATAGGGAAAGAGGCTTTGCAGATTGAAGGGGTAGTATCTTGCTGCCGACGAGGTAAGCGTTGCCACAGTTCTTCCGTGACAAATGGCATGAAAGGATGGAGCAATTTCAAACCTTCGTCAAGACACGTGTAGAGTGTGTTCTGAGCTGAAAGGCTGGTTGCAGGGGTTGCGTCGGGGCCAGTCATCGGTTTCATCGCTTCCTGTTAAAAGACCATAATCTAAGTATATTTTTGTTCATGACCAATTAAGAGAGAGAGATAGCGACATCTTACGATATAAACATCACACAGGTCGTAGAGCCAAAACTCGTAAACTGCGGATGTAGCAGCCATAAATACGCGATCTTCTAAAGCTTTGTTGACCGTTTGTGAACATTCGTTCAACCTGTGAAGGATCCATCGTTCAACTAAGCTTTCCTGTTTGGTTGGCTGTTCGCGTCTCGTCGAGCATGATGAGATTCAACACCAGTGTAAGTGTTCAAATGAAAGAATTCTGACCTCGCTTGTGGTCCTGGGAACGAAATTTTCGTCTAGCTTCAACAAGGCGAATTTTGTTGCGTTCCAAAGTTTATTGCTGTGGTTATTGGAGTCAAAGACAGTCAGCATTGTATATTAGCCATAAGCTACTCAAGATACGCACCAAAACTTTCGATAACCCTCAACTCGAAGTACATCCAGGTTAATTGAGCGACCTGTGGATGCTCTTCGCGTCAGTGATGTGCTTTAAAGCTACAGTCAGAATAACATTACGCACCAGAGGAAGTATAAGCACACAATGCAAATCGTAAAGCATCAGCCCCGCATTGTGGAATACCATTAGTTTTTCCAAAGTCTGCCTTTTGACCAGCCAAGGCGGTCTTCAACTCCTTTGCGTCGAGGTTACCTGATTGCAATTTTCCATGAAGACTATCGAGGGATATTCCATCAATCACATCAATCGGGTCGATCACATTTCCTTTACTCTTTGACATTTTTCGGCCGTGGGCATCACGAATCATAGCATGACAAAACACCTCGTTGAAAGGCATCTTGCCCGTGAGTTTCACACCAAGAATCGTCATCTTGGCTACCCAAAAGAAGATGATATCCCATCCTGTTTCCAAGAGCGAGGCTGGATAAAACTTTTCGAAATCTGGAGTCTACATTACGTCAGAAGCATCAGGTCCGATCAGGATAGGTAAGTTGTGGATTAGTCAAACGCCGACCGACCTTGTCTGGCCACCCCATGATTGAAAAGGGCCAGAGACCAGATGAGAACCAGGTATCGAGCACATCTTCGTCTTGTCTCAAGACAAATTTGTCATTAGGAAACATGCGTTTTGCTTTCTCCTCAGCTTCTTCCTGAGTCCGTCCTGCAACCCAATAAGAGCCGTCGGTTTCCTGATAGAAGTGATATAATTTGAGTATGGAACGCTTCTACTAAAAGTATAGATCGATAGAGCTCACGTCTTGTTGTTTGCCCTCGATGTTCACAAAGTATACAGGGCATCGATGTCCCCACCATAGTTGTCGTGATATACACCAATCACGCATTCCTTCCAACCAACTGTACCACTCCCGTTCAGTAGCTTTCGGGAAAAGTTTCAACTCGCCGTCTTGCGCTCGCTACAAAGCCTCAAAGTCAGTGAGGGGCGATCAAGCGTAAAGCGTCAAACCTGAACATACCTTGATAGCTTCTTGCGCAAGGTCTTTGCAGTTTACCCACCATTGTGGCTTAATGAGTGGCTCTATAAAGTCCCCACTCTTTGCACATACAGGAAGTTGCATGGTTCCATTATCCTTAGTTTCGATCCAAAGACCCTTTTCCTTCAAGGCGATCACGATTGCTTTCCTTGCGTGGAAACGTTTCATTCCGGCATATGGAGCAGGCGCGTTGGAGTTCATAGTTCCATCGTCATTGAGCACGTTGATCATTTCTAATTTGTGTCTCACTCCGACCTCGTAATCCTCAAAAGAATGCGCAGGGGTGATCTTGACCGCTCCAGTACCTTTGGTGGGATCAGCTAGTTCATCGGCCACAATGACCATCTTTCGAGATGGAATGAAAGGATGGATAGGTCGCTTTCCTACCAGGTGCTAAAGGATATCTGCCTGATAAGTAATCAGATCATGCGACAGACGCCTAGATGACATACCTTGTACCGTTCATCCTCAGGGTGCACAGCGATTGCCACATCTCCCAAGATGGTCTCCGGACGAGTTGTTCCTACAGTGATTCTTTCGCCTATCAAACCGTTTTCGTGAAATTAGCATGATGAAGGTCTTGATGATTGGTATGATAAATTCATAATTCAACTTGTGCCCTCAATTTCCCACGCAAAGTAGACCATAGTTCCAAATTCAAATCTCTCCGTCGGCTCATATCCTGGTACCGTCAACATCGTCTTGCCCTTGATTTCCAACTGATCGACTTCTTCATTGGACAACGCAGTATTCAGTCTAACACACCAGTTGACTAGTCGATTTGATCTGTAGATGACACCTTCGTCGTGTAAGCGGACGAATGCCTCGACGACCGCTTTTGAAAGTTGCTACAAGCTTGCAAGATTGGTCAGACGTATGTTAGACTAAGCTAGAGAGCCTGTCAAGCTCACTGGATCCATGGTAAACCTTGCTCGACTCCAATCATACGAAGCACCGAGACGATTCAATTGATTGGTGATGCATGATTGATACCTATCCAAAAAAAACAGAAGTTAAATAGGATCTCATAGACACTCGTCAAGGCGGATAGAAATCACTCTTCTTTCCAGGAGAATACCCTCTCCAAAAACTTTTCACGTCCTAGATCATGTCGGGTTTGACCTGTAGATTTGAATAGTCGTTTCTCTACAACCGATTGCGTTGAAATACCAGCATGATCAAAGCCGGGATTGAACAGCACCGTCTTGCCTAACATCCGGTTCCTATGAGATTGAATTTAGCAAAGATTGGAATACTCGAGCCTGGTGATGTAGGGGCAACCAACCATCTCACCAACGTATCTTGGATAGCAATTGTCAAAGCATGGCCAATATGCAAACTTCCGGTTACGTTTGGGGGTGGAGCCGGTACGACGAACATTCCAGCGGGTTTGATGTCCCCATCTGGTCCATATTCGGGTTCAAAGAATCCAGATTTGACCCACCAAGAGTACCAAGCCGCTTCCACAGCAGGTGGGTTGTATCCATTTGCCATTGGGTTACTCATATCTTGCAAAACAGATATACATTTTCGGTCAGAAACGCATAATAATGATAACCCATTAACTTGAGAAAGAACACTTACCTTTTTTCTCTCCATCAGGGGTTAAATTCACAAATACTTCTTCCTCAGGTTTGATTGTCGCCTTTTCTTTCTTTGCAGCTCGGGGTGCCGTGGCATCTTTAGGTAAGATCGGCTGAGTAAAGTTCAAGGTTAAGGATTCCAGCTACTGTGGTACGGATTTCAAGATCTATAATATAACACTGACTCCCTTGGTTGCTCTGATTGCGGCTCTCTGTGCTTCTTTTGCAGCCCGTTTTACTGTGCGATCGGTAAAATGATTCACAGGATCAGTCAAGTCTAAATCAATTTGAGATGTGTCGGTTAACTTCGAGATACTTACATGCGCTTTTGGAGATTTCTTCGGTAGGTGGCTTCCCTGCCGGGGCATCGGAGGCAGACATGGAATGTCGAGTGGAAGAAATGTAATGTCTTGGATAGAATGGGCGAATTGAAGTTTTGAAGATCTGATAGCGCATTCAACTTGAAGCCAAAAGTCCAAGCTCTGCTCCGGAGAAATTTGACTGTCATGTATATTTACTCTCCACATGTAAATGACCCGGCCATGCGGTGGTAACGGCGGAAGTACTGTAAGCCCCGGGGCTACTCGAGGGCGGCCAGGAACCCCATCGGGTCGTCCAAGGTCAGTCTTACTGAGGAGGTCACATGCTGATGATTCAGGAAACATGCTCTTCATGGCTATGACTGAAGGAGTTGCTGTGCTCGCATATTTCCCTGCAACACTGGAAGAAACAATTTATGATGTTTGAATGGCTGCACATTCACCACTACATTCACAAAGTGAGAGTAATTGGAGATAGTAAGCTCAATTTTTTTAGAAAAAGTCTTCACTTCAAATGGGTTGAAGTGCAAAGCATGAAACGTAACTTTATGATTGGTGGTTTACATCAGAGGTATGACGTCAGGTCATTGGATTATTTGGTAGGGATATATGCAGAGTAGCCGTGAGCCAGGCTTGGCCATCAAAAAAAGGACAGGTCTTGCCGCTCGATTGATACATCAACTTTTTATGATTTGTTTGACGCAGACCAAGTTGTGAATTGGGCTCCACCCACTTAAAAGACGTCTTGAAAGCATATCAATCTAGAGATTAAAGTAAGGTAAATAAGGATACTAGAAGGGTTCAAAATAGTTACTGAAGAGAACCAAGATACTGAAGGACAGTTCCTAAAGGCTCGTGACCCCACAGCTACTGTGTAACCGGACTGAGATCATCACTTCATGTCCAGGAAGTGAGGTGTAGATCCAACATTGAAGTACCCAAAAGAGCACGGCGGGATTTCGAGCTCTGAGGGTATTGGAAGCTGGACCAAGCAGACCTTGAGAATGGTACAAAGCTCAGCATTTCGATCGATGTCTCAGGTAAATTTAATGAGCGAATCCCGAAGTTTGAATTGACGGTAAACCCCTAAGCTTAACTAAGCCCCTCTCGGACGAGCGAGTAGTCGAGAGAGGGGCTTAAATGGGACTCGCGTTTCATGGTGGGAGAGCTCCAGAAATTAAGTACCTTTATGTACTTTTCTGGAGCTCTCCTCAAATACTCATTGTGGGATTTCTCAAGGTTCAGGTATGTGTAGCTTCATGAGAAGCTACACAACCTCGTACCACTTTCAGCAAGATTTGTTGGAAGTAAGGGTATTCAAAACGGATTTCCAGTTTGTTGCAATGTGTAGCTGGCTATTTCAGACCAGGAGGCTGAAATGGCAGCTTTGTCGGAAACTACCAATTTCTTGACAAAACACCACAAGGGTTTCGTCTTCGTAAAAACAATAAAGGACCTCGCGCCACCGGGATAAGTGTCCCTCGATATCCAAGGGTTTTGATGAATATCTTAAGGGTTTTAGCTTTTATCCATTTCGGCGGCAGTTTCGGCGAAGGACCAAACATCCAAATCTCGGTGAAGGCCAGTACAGGCCTGTACTGGCATGCTTAGGCTGTTACAGGAGGACGTAAGAAACCATTTGCGCAACGTTTCCTGAAAGCGTCACAGCTCTCAGTTGTTGATGAAAGTGGTACGAGGTTGTGTAGCTCCTCATGAAGGAGAACATACCTGAACCTTGAGAAATCCTACGGTGAGGAATTGAGGAGAGCTCCAGAAAAGTACATAAAGGCACTTAATTTCTGGAGCTCTCCCGCCATGAAACGCGAGTCCGATATAAGCCCCTCTGCGAGGGCGCGGCGAACGCGCTAGAGGGGCTTAGTTAAGCTTAGTAAACCCCCGAAAAAAGTGGCAAACCTTTGTCGATGTCAGTTTCGTTTTTTTGGTTTCGATCGCAGTTGATCACTACCACACAATCCAATTCTCGACTCATTGAATCATCATGTCTGAAGCTGAACAACCACACGAAGTGCTCTTGATCGGTCTTGGTGCTGTAGGTTAGCACATACCCCTTGCTTATGTACACATCACCCACTAGACTGAAACGGTACATGCATTAATACCTTGGTGTTGCATTCCCAACGAAATCCAAACCGAACACTTCAATGATCGATAGGTGGAGTATATTCTTATGTTCTTGAACAATCTAAAAGATGTCGAGTCACTGCAATTGCTCGTTCGGCATATGATTCAATTCAACAAGATGGTCTTACCATTCGATCTCAAAAATTCGGTGTGATCTCAAATTGGAAACCTTATCGAGTACTACGTAAAGCTGAAGAAGCTACCGATCGTAATTATCGATTGATCATTTGTACTTTCAAATGTCTTCCTGACCTTTTAGTAAGTTTGATTCTCTTCTTGAGATTCATCATCATCATCAATGGATCTTCATCTGATTTAACTTCTTTGATACCATCAGCCTACTACGACCATCTTGGCACCTTTTTTGATCCCTTTCTGTGGTACCTCTCCCAATGATAAACCCAAAGCAAAACCTCCAACTGTGGTCTTGATTCAGTTAGTGTTCTGCTGACTAAAAGATGAAAATACCGTCTAACCTTTTACGCCTTTCTGATGTATAGAAATGGAATTGGAATCGAACAACCCATAGCAGAAGCTTTCCCTTCAATTCATATTATCAGTACTGTAGCATGGATCGGCGCCAATTTAATTTCAAAACCTAATCAACCTACAATTATTGAACATGGAAAGATGGAAAAACTAGTCTTTGGTTTATATGATGGTGAAGGATTTGGACCAAGTGTTTTGAATGATCGAGATCCAGGTGAATCAGGTCATTTTGTGGATGGTCTATTAAAAGAAGATGGTACAAGTTTAGAAGGTAATTCAAGAGATGAAAAAAGAAGTTTAGGGAAAATCGAAGTGGATTTGTTGGCTAGTTTACTTAAAGATGGAGGTGGTCAAATTGAAGTTTTAGAACATATTCAACCTGCGAGATGGGCTAAGAATCTTTGGAACGCTGCTTTTTCTACCATGGTATATTCATTTCTGATTTTCTAGCCAAGTTTTTGATCATGTGTTAATCAAAAAGGTTCGCTTTTGTCATCTCATCCAACAGTGCTCCTTATCCAGATCACCAGTTAGTGCGCTGATAGCACCCGAAGTACTTCCTCATACCTTACCGGTCGTTCGACGAACGATGCTCGAGATGATCTATGTAGCTCGAGCACTGGGATATCGAGAAATCGATTTACCTGCCAAAGCAGTCGATGATACCATCCAACTTACGATCTCACACTATCAAGGCTCTCAATCTCAAAACAATGAAGATGTGTTCGAGGAGGATGAAGAAGAGGAAGAAGGAAAAGAAGAAACTAAACATACTACTTTCAAGCCTAGTATGTTACTTGACCTAGAAAACGGCCGACCAATGGAGCTAGAACCAATAGTAGGAGCTGTACTTGATCGTGCACGCGCAAAAGCCATCGAGACTCCTCGGCTAGACCTGTTTGAGTACCCTTTTCTCCATTTTATGTTCTACTTCTAACAATGCAACTTACTGGAACTCTTTGATGCTCTTGATCGCAAAGGCTTTATTCTGCTCTCAAAGTCTCACAAGAAGCAGCTGCTCGAACACACGCATCCAGATTACAAAGTCAAGCTCAAGAACAACATTTACACGTTTGGGCGATGAGAAAACCAAGTGTGGGTGGTTCCGGTACATCAGATAGTAGAGAGGCATGGATAAAAGAAGTCGAACGAAGAGGTAAATTAGGGGCAGTTGATGGTCATGGGAAACATGGATCATCCTCCTTGAAAAATTCACTTTCTGGTCGACCAAAAGTCACTGGACAACCATTGTGAAGAGCTTCAAGTTCATAAGTGGTCTCCTGCTTTTGAAGCACTCACTATATAAATAGTCTTATTGAATCATTACATGTACGTCGTCAAATTTGCAGCAATATAAAATCATGTTATACTTTGTATGGGTGTCTATTCCACTATTCTAAATCACGTGTAAGCATAGATTGCAATGCCAGTTGAGGATAGAAACAATTTGTTTAAATGACAAAGAGCCTTTAGCAAACCTTGTTGACAGTTGGAATCAAGTCTAATAGAAAAAGACAAAACAAAGAACGGCGCTGGCAATCTGAGAAAAATCCGCAGGGTTTTTTTGATTATTGTTACAGTTCTCCAGCATCTTTGACTGTAGCCAAGGGCTGCCACCGAACAGACTCTGATATCACGTCACATACACACATTCAGATATCAAGTGGATAATTGCAATATGAAATTTCACTGCTGCATCTCCGACACGCATTCCTGCAAAGAAAGACAAACATATTTGTCAATTAATAATCCATTTTGGTGAAAACTTGAATGATTGAGCAAAGTTTCCTTACCCAACGGCCTTTCAAGTTCTCCTTCCATAAACTAATCTTTCCATCACCCACACAAACAGCTAAAACATTACCACCTAAACTCCAACTAACTCTCCAAACCGGACTACCAAACTTTTGATGGTTTCCCGTAGGATTAGATCCACCATTAGAAGGATCTAAGGTATGTTGAACCCAAGGAGATTTAGGACCATCTTGAGTCCAAACATTCACAAGTTGATCTTGACCAGCTGAAGCTAAATAAGTACGAGAAAGTCCAATGTTGGGAGAATAGGCAAGATCTCGAATCCAATCTGTATGAGCTCCTTCAAGTGTTTCTGATAATTCCCAAACGTGTGTGTGTGAATTAAGGGCCCAAATCTTCACTAATCCATCACAACCTCCTGTGGCAAATTTCTTGGGTTCTAGTGGTGAGTTTTGAGGTAGAGAGGCAGAGGTGAGAGAAGCAGGTTGGATGGCTGGTGCCCAGGAGACAGCGTTACAACCGATTGGATGAGCAACGAAAAGTGGAGCATCCCATGTACCGTCATCTACAATCAAAGATACAGAAATGTTTAGGTAGAACAGTCTGATTTCAATGATATCGAGTATGGGATATACCTTTGAAAGTTAATACCGAAACTTTTCCATCTGAGCTCGCACAAGCCAAGATTGGACCGTACTCATGTGGAGCCCATGAGATCGAATTGACTAATCTCAGGACGCGTTTCGAATAGTGGGAAAGATGAGAAAATCAGATCCAAGATAATTTTCCAAAAAGAATAGGAAGATGACTCTAACCAGAAGCAGAATGCAAGGTATGTTCTTTAATCTTTTCCCAACTACCAGCTTGTTTCGAAGGCGCGCCTGAGGTGGGACCAGAATGGGTTTCCCTCCAGACAAAGATTTTACCATCGTAGGAACAGGAAGCGAGAATAGAGCCAACTGAAATTCCATAACATCATTGTAAATTTCACTGAAAAGATATCTAATAGTGGTCAGATGACTAACATTTCGGATGAGCCCAGCTCACTTGCCATACTGGACCGTCGTGACTGAGATGCAGATAGACAAATCGAAAGTATAAGTCTTGATTGAGACATGGAAGAGCGAGTCAAATACTTTCTTACCCTCTGAGAGTATCTACAAGTTGATACTTTGGTTCTACAGCTGAAGGATCGACGACATCAAAGATCTTGATAGTACGATCGGATGAACAAGTCGCTAGTCGTTTTCCATAAAAGTCCATTTGGGCATCATGCTGTAATTTCATGTATCATTTAAAAGATGTTTCGATTTGAAGATTAAGGATTAAGCGGAATGTCTTACAATCATATCTTCATGTTGAGTTTCGATTTGAAGTGGAAGTGAAGTTGAATTTGGTGAGACCTATGAATTGAATGGTTGGTCAGTTTGATTGTCTGTTAGTTTTGAATGTTTATTATTGTGGTTACCATGATGAATGATGAGTGATGGTGACGGGGTTCGGTGATGAGGTTGTTGTTGATGGTCAAATGTGATTCTTGATGGTTTTGGTCAACAAGCTGATCAGAATCAGATCTCGTCATCAGTGAACAGAGTTAGATGTCACTACAGTGTCACTGGTACTACTTCAACCTGTCACATTTTCCCATATGCCTTTCACACATAACACCGTGGTACTTATCATCATGACTCAAGCAAACCAGATAAAATGTAAAACAAGGGTATAGGAAGTAAAACATGATATGATTATATTGGACAATTCATAAATGATGACTGGGAAGAGCCTTGTGTGTGGGAGGTATGAAAGGCAGGTTTCACTATGTTTGCTTTCTCTCTTGTAAATGTGGACCATGAGACTATGAAAGTATACATGACTTGAGTGGGATCCAGTCACCTACTTTTCTCTTTAAATAGGTGCCATCTTTTTCTTGTTACACTCTTACTTAATTTGCACTATTTAACTCAGCTTGTACGTGTGACAAAGGAAATGATTTCTTCTGCAGAAAAGCCCCTGATGACTTTGCAATCCACAATCTTCATGACAAATCAAAAGCTCAGAATATATTTCTGTTTCTATCTTTCCTTCTCTTGGTTTATGGTTAATCCTTTAGGCTAGGAAGAAAAATGCAGCATGTTGCTTCTAGACTGATGTTGTTGATTGGATGATCCTCAAGCTGCATGAGGTCTTCTTTCTTTCTATCTTTCTAATCTTCTTGTTTCCCCTCTCAAATTCTTCCCCCACCTGAGGCTGTGGTTGATATTGAGGTAAAGCATTAAGGTTTATGGCTTTTTGGATTTAAGAAGCTCTGGTTGCCACTGGATGATTTGCTTTGATTTGATTGAATCTGATGAGCTTACTTGATTCTGCTGCAGTTTGATGAATGGTTGTTTTGTATTTTCTACAAAATTGACTGGATTAAAATTAAGTTTGGTGATGAAATTATGAAATTTGTAATTTGATTTTGAATTTCATTGAAGTGGTCATCTGAATTTTTAACTTTTCACTAAAAACTCTTTTCACAAACTTACCCTTCAACTCAATTCACTTCATTCTCCAATCTACCCTTCAAATCAAACAAACATGACTCAAGTCTTGGCTCCAGCTCCAGTTCCTGAAGCTGTCTTATTATCTCCTCCTACTTTACCATCAAATCAAAATCAATCATCTCTCAATCAAAACAATCATGTCAATCTCGATTTACGGAACTATAGGATCACCATCGATCGTGAATCATTAATGGAATTACCTGAAAGTGTACTACTTTGTCTTTTTCCTAATGGTTTCGTCTTCAATCAACGTCAACAACAAACCAATTCTTATCCTCAAAATCAATCGAGATTTATTCAAGATCATGGTGTCACTCTAGATGATGTAGAAGATGATGATGATGTTTATTATGTCGATGTTAGTTCATTTTTCATTTTGGTTTTTGATCTTCGATTTTAGAATCGTATTGATTTGTCATCTCATCTCATCTCATCACTTCTTTTTTACTTAGTTCGATGGTGCATGTTTATCGTTCATTCTTAAATTCTTCAACGAATCTCGTATCTCTTACTATGGAACCGATCCTCCACCACAAGATTCACCGGCTCCTCCTCAACAATTACCTTCTCCACTTTTCTACAAACAAGCTATCATTGTACTTCGTGAAGAACTTGAATACTTTGCTGTACCATCTCATAAACCAGATGATGGATCAGATCCTCATACTTATCAATTGAAGAAACTTTGTGGTGATCAAATATTAGAGAGACGTAGTATCTTCACACCTCTTCAACGGAACATCAATCGTGAAAACAATGTGGCTGAACAACATCTAATCGATATGTTGTGCATGAGGTAACATCATTTCTCTATCTTTTACTCGAAAGCATTCACACTTACAACCTTCAATCCCGAAATGGAATGCTTTTACATTTTACAACAGTGGTTTCAATCGAGAAGATGAATGGGGATACCGGTCTATCGAACCTCGAAGATGTTGTATCACCTCACTTGCTCTTGTGCTTCTCAAAACAGGTATCACTCATGATCACCCACCTGGACACCCATCCACCGGACCTCAAAGTCCTACTCAGATGAATCCTCGGGTCAGCAATCAGCAACTTACAACGGCTCAAAAACTCTTGTTGTTCTGGCGAAAACCTGCCGTGAGTTATCTCGTTCTATCTCCGCAAACCTTGTGCAACGATCGTCTTCAGAGTATCAGAACTCATCTGGTTTGCTTTTATAGCGAAAATGTTGGTGGGATGCTACGGAGGTCTCCTTGCCTATTCCAAAGCAGGAGAAGCCTTTGGATGTGAAACTTTGGGCTCGAAGGGTTTGGACGCTCGAGTTAAGCTTGGTGAGTGTGGAATCCTACTATCTTTCTCTCAAATCGATCTCAATCGTTAATCTTGAATCTTTTTTTTTTGGAAACAGATTTGATCTTCCTTTTTTTCTTCTTGCTCGTTTGTAGTTCTTGTGGCGGATCGGCTGCTTTGATCTATGTTTTGTCTTTATCATGGCACCCTTTCTTTTTGTTTGCATGATACCTGCTTTTCATTTCACTTTTAATCTCATGAAGCATGTTGTGATCCCTCTTTGTCAGTATTCTCATTCTATTCACTCTTCATGAACACATCATCCCAAGTATGATGTTTTTCGAGAGGTATAGTTTGTTGGGTTTTACTATATGTTTGCCCCCCTGGATCTCACCAGTTCACATTTTGACTTCTTTTCTTCAATTATGTTCAATTTTCATTTCACTTAGCTCTAGTTTTCTTTCTCTTCTTTTTTCTATTCAATTCTGAAATAAGTCTTGTTTCAATCAATGATTTCTATCCATCATTTTTCAATGCGCGGAAGTTGATTTTTTTTCAATTTGTATACATTTATCTATCTTTTCTTTTTCCATTTATTAATGTGTTTTTTCTTACTACTCTTTTCAATACTTTCTCTTATTGCTTATTGCTTATTGTGTTCGAGTTCATTTTTGTCATTTTTTTTTCTTTTATAGGTGCTTGTTATCTGTACAAAGTCATTTTTTTCTTTGGAAGTCTCTTTCTTGTGATATTGAAGTACTCTGAATCATCAGTCAGTATTGTGGTACATAGTAGTTTTTTCTTTGTGAGTCGAATTCAATGATTCATTTATTCTTTCCAACAAACAACATCTTTATGTTGTACAGAATCAAATAACAACAGTTTCTTCACGACTTGATAATACTTAGAAAGAAATATAATTTGATATAAGGGTTCTAGTAGAGATGTTTCCAAGGATCTTCAATCATTGAAGGTTTGTAATAGCCTTCTCCGTTGTTCGTCTTGGGTCTCTGTTTGCAAACAAGTCAGCAAGCAGTTAGGGAGAGCAATCATGAACGAAGAGATTAACTTTTGATACCTGTTTACCAACTTCATCATCCAAAGCTCTTTGATGAAACCCTGAAGGACCTTCTCTTCCCCTACCTCTTCCTCTTCCTCTTCCTCTACCTCTATCTCGTGGATTACTAACTCCGAATCCTCTTCCTCTTCCGCGTGAGTTGTGATGAGATGTGTTGGATGATTGAATTGATGGTGCTATAGATTCACGTGTGATTGTACCGGCTCCAAATGAAGTAGGTAAACCGAAAGCTGATAAATCGGGTTCGTTTTGATCCGTCATGGTAAAAGAAAACGGTCAAGTTGAAGTGATTTGATGAGAAAGTTGCAATGAAGTTTGGGTGATGAAAGAGTATCCGGCTTTGGGAAATTTGGTTTCTGGCCCCGGCCTATTTTCCACCCACAGTATGATCCATCACACTTTTCAAGAAGATCAGAGACAGGGAAAGAAACTGAGTACTAGATGGTTCACAAATACTTCATTAACATGGTCGTGTCCTAGTTGACTAAATGGACGAGTGGTACGATGGTGGAAGAAACATGAATGCTCAGATTTCTATGAAGGTAAAGGAGGTCAACAGACTCTCAATTACCACTGGACAGAGACTGCTCAGCTTTAAATTTGGGTTCATTTTTATCTGATGGCGTCAATCATCACTCATCTCCAGCTCTACAGATCTCATTCGGATTGGAATGCTTGAAATCTATATATTCATATTCTTGACGATCATCAACCACTTCAAGTTTCCTCTCCAGAAAATCAACATAGATTCAATAGAATCATCTATAAGCACAAAAAAAAATAAACAACCGATAGATACACGCACAGAGACATCAAGCAGGACTCGCACAAGGATGTCGTATTGAAAAAAAAAACAAGCCAAAGACTGACATACGAACAGTAAAGAAAAAGTGATGAAAAGATCAGGATGACTGAATGGGAAAGAAATCTAGAAAGCTCTGGTCTCGGTTTAGGAACATCTAGTCTATTGATCTGATCCTGAGGAACTCTATTGAGACGAGCATCTATCTTGGCTTCAAGAACGCAGACGAGCTTCACTGACTTATGTTCTTCTGATCGTACCAAAGTCTTCATGTACGTCTAACAGAACTATAACCAAACCCAACAAATCATCAAAACCCTGCAAGATTCTCAGATTCTTGTCAGTTAAAACACTTACTCTTCATAGCATTCCTTGCTCTGATACGAGGCAATTCGTCAATCTCAACCGTCACACCCTTCGACGCTTGCTGCTTGCCAAATGGATACTAGAAAAGATTGTCGAGGTTCAGTGGTTGAAAGAATTTAAATCTTCAGTAAACCTGAACCTACTGGAATTAGTTTTTGAAGATATTCATAAGAGACCAATGTAACCCCAAACTGTGGAGAGCTACGTAAGATTCTAGCTGGTCCACCTTTGAACAAAGCTTTCGGACCTTCTTCTTTCACTATTACAAAGATATGGTTTGAGTCACATCATTTTTCAGATTAGAGAGGAAGAGATTACTTACAGATGGTCCGGAAGCAGTCCACCAAACCTTTGTAGGTCGTCTCTCCTTTCCTCGCTTCCGATTGTAATCTCGTCTTGACAACATCAGCCGGTGTTGTCAGATAAGCCGCTGGCATACCCTATATCAATCCAGACACAAAGAAGTTGCTATTCAGTACATTTGCTTGACAAACCCGCAGAATAGCATTCAAATCAACTTACCGCAATGGCTGCAGCACTCAAAGTCTCTCCAAAGCCCAAAGTTTTTCCATTAAGGCCTTCTGAGAAGGTGTCCTTTTTCACTAAGTACAAACCAACCGATAAAAACTGGGTCAGAATTGGTTTCCAAGCGTAAAACAAGCATCAAAGAAAGAAAAATGTACGTACAATGAGCATAAGCTGTGAAGTAGATGGCTGAGAAAGGGATATCTCGACAAAGACATGCCCCAGCACCCTTATAAAGCCCAACAAGACCAAGTTGTCGAATGATGTGCATCGCACCTCGAGGTTCATTCCCTGCAACTCTTGCCATTTCTCCTTGCATTTGAAGACGGATCTTGACAATCTCTAATGGATTTGTGACAGCCTATGAAAAAGGAATTGAGTCATTGGGGGAAACTCGTATATACTAGATATGATGACAAACGGACCACTTGACATCCACCCGCGGCACCACCGGAAAAGAGTTCCCAACCAAGACTGATCTGTCCAGTCATCGGATCTTTTGCATTTGCTCGGATCAAGTCGTTGATCGTAAGCTTGATCGCTTTCTCTGGTGCAACACCCTACAAGACAAAGAAAACAGTCTCAATAGAGCTATATAAGAGTGGTGTTGATGGTAGGTATATCAGACTAACGATCAATTGGGGTGGTAGACCTCTATAGAAGCCAGCGAAACCCTCGTTCTTCAAGACTTTCTTGACACAATCCATACTGTTTTTGTAGAGCAATTCACCGACCACTTTACTGCGTTGATTCTGCATCCGAGTCTTTACCAGATCGATCGGATAGACCGCCGTTGCTCCTACTGAGATATAATAATGATGTTACCCAAACATTCCAAAGCGGTTAAGACGAGGTTTTATAGATAGTATTATCTGAGGGAAATAACCAAGTCATAAAGACAAGCGCTACCCACATGCACCGGCAATTCCACCCAATCCAAAGTTATAAGTTGATTTAGCAAAGCTTTGCCAAAAACTCCCAGTTGCCAACTCATCCGTGACTACTTCTTGTGTCTGAGCACGTTCCCATTTTGGATCGAGAAGTTTGCCGAAATCTGCGAGTCCGAGTCGAGCATTGAGATCTCCCATACCAGCAAAATGGAACACAATATCCACTTCCATCGGCGTCAGATTCGTGTAACGAGTGTGACGAGCAGCAGTGTTGAGAAAATCGTGACGGTTGATCTTGTGGTCCTTAGATTGTGATATGGCTTCTTGCAGTATACGTTCAACTGAATCCATCTCTCGTATCACCTATTGGAGAACTTCGAGTTAGGTTACATTTGAGGAAGAGTATATGAATAAAGAGGACTGACATTGTGGAAGGCATTGACTTCGGAGTATGAAATCTTTCCTCCCGTGCTGAGTGTGCAGAGCGTGGGTAAACGTTCCAATACTGCGTCTGAGAGCTTGTGACGAGCAAGTTCGAGAATGATACGCTTGAATTGATCTGGTGAGATATGCTGGATTGGGTTGAAGTGAATGTATTCGCAAAGTGAAGATGATATGATGAGTGGAATGTCCTAGGGAATCGCACTATAGGTACTTACACCTGTCTCAGCTTTATCAAAGTATGCAAAGGCTTGTCGTAGTCGTTCGCCTTGCAGGCCTTTCATGAGTTGCGTAAATTCGCTAGTTGAAGGGAAATAGATACCAATATGTCAGCTTTCTACGAGGGTGGGTTTTCTGAAGATGCAAGTAAAGACACAGACTTGTAGCCAAGTACATGCCGACCCTCCCTTCGACCCAGAAAGAGCTTAACCCAAGGCGAATCGAATGTAAAAGGAAGTGAGTCTGGACCGAGGTTGGCAGAAAAGACACGCTTGAACTCGTCAAAGGTGACGTCGCCATTGCTATCCTGATCAAAGTACTTGAATGCCACCCTATGTTTAAGATGTACAACAATTAGTAAGAGAATGAGAGTTTGACAAGCAATGGAAAAAATCACTCAACTCAAATTGAGCATCAGGCTTCTTAAGTAAAGTCTGAAAGACGACGAATTGATCCCATTCAACTTTTCCAGTCCGGTTAGTATCAGCTATTCGAAACAGAATTGCATATTGAGATTTTTGGATTTTCTGGAAATCGTCCGTGGGAGCCACAGCGTTGATGAACCCCTCTTCATTGAGATAACTGATCAAGTTAGCAACATATATAAGTATGGTAAATGTATAAGCAGTAAACAGTGATCGAAAGTACGGACCGAGATGGTTTCAAGTTATTTGGGTCGTCAGTGGTGGCGAATTCTTCAAAGACTTCCTTCCATCGATCTAGTTCTGAATCTGAAGGATTAGAGGTGACTAGTTACGTAAATTTGAACGATCAACCGTCAGTTAACTTCATCCCAAAACCCTAAGCAAACTTATGATGACTCACCAGATTCACACTGCAACGCCGCTGTCGTCATCATCATCATGAACGGGTGAGGGGTAAAGTCAGTATGAATGTATGAAGAGTATATATGTTGTATCAATTAGTAACCAACATGACCGCCACCAGTTTGCCATTTTTGTAATGATTGAATGATTTGATAGAAGTTTCTTGGATTGAGATTCCTTGGGTCTTTGCTGAGTTGGTGCTCGCTTTAGTTGGAATGCTGAGACAAATCGAGCATGTGTATGTATGTAAACTCAATTTCACCCGATCACCTTGTAATGATCATCACATCACATGGATTGTAGTAAGTAAAGACCTGTCTAAACCCAAACTCTGGTGACTTTTACCTTAAACCTATGGACTTTCGCACCTCGCCCGGTTCATCCCTTGCAGTGCACGTTGACTTTGCTAGCATCATTTGGATCAACTCCAAAAAACAAACACATACAAAGCTCAAACACACCTTGCTTGCGGTGGCTTAAACAGTTTGATCACAGAAGCCCAGAGTCACCCCACAGAGCAATCTCATTGGTTTTTTCGTGGTATTGATCTGCTAGTGTATGTAGAGCCCGAGATCTTGAATGAAATATGACTCAAAGTGATGACCTTTCAAATGGCCACATCGAATGATCTTCTACCATCTGAAAAGAGGTTTGCAAAGGTTTGCAATTGGGGTATGTATGTGGCTATTGGACATGTATCTGACAGGTTGTGATCAATGGATATCACCTGAGGTTCAATCAAAGAAAGAGGATTGGAGCACGAGTCTACACCACGGAGTGGTCCGGCCCATCTGCAGACTGGGACGGAGGCCGTCTGCAGACGGGTCTTTTTTTATATAGTCACAGACCGTCTGCAGGTAGGCGCTGGTCCCACCGTATGCAGACGGCCTTTCAAATACCACCTGCAGCCTGCCTGCGAGTCGACTGCAGACGAGATGCAGAGGGTCAATCACTGGTCTGGGTCCTGGGTTCTGCTCCACACCAATTCTCAATAATAGACCAGTGAGACAACTGCTAGCCTTGAAATTTGGCTAGCAGGCAGCTAAAAGGGAGAATCAAAATAATATCTATTTATCAATGCATTAAAAATGGTCTCACACATAGGAAGTTGTAACAATGAGTATATCATAAGAAGATACAAGTTTTTTTCTATTGAAACTAAATAAATGTGTTGAATCATAACTTGAACATCAATCTTTGGTTGAAAAAAGAGAACTAATCGATTCTTTGTGGGTTTGATTTGTAGTCGATTTAATATCAATAGATTGGAGAAATGAATCTATCATTGTAGAAATGGTATCAATTTCTGTTACTGATTGAGTTCCACCAGCTCTGGTTATAATTGTTCAAAAAAATAACAAAGTCAGTGATTTGAACCAGTTTTCCTCGATTTAATGAAAAGCAATTGACCACTTTTTAAAATCACCCGATTCTTAATTTATGATGTATCATCATCATTATCATTGATTGAATGAGATTTCAACGAGAGCGTTATGATTTTCGGTCGAATAGATTGAATTTGAGGTTATTGTTACCCATGAAGGTCAATGAGACAGATACAAAATCTGATTTAATCGGCACACTTACCTCATTAAGCTCAAAGATTACTAATCGATCACCTTTATCACCTGTAGCGAGATAATTCCTTGTGTGATCGACATCAACAGTTGAGATGATATCCACGATCAATATCAACAGCTGAGATGATATCTGATTTGATGATATCTTCGACTTCCGTTTTCTCGGCTTTATGATTGAATAGATTGGTAATTAGCAAGATCGATCAAGAGTAGATGATCAAAAAGCATTCAGGATAAGATTGAAAGACAAACCAAAAAAATGAGCAAATCTCCAACCAGATGAGTAACTATCTAAATCTGTTCCCGGAGCTGTAGCTATTGATGAAAAAGAAGATATCAAAGTAGTGATGATAAGAAAAAAGATGATGAATATCAGTCAAAAGCATGTTTTGTCAAAAGTCTGAATGATTGTGAGATCTCAAAGGGATGTTTTCAGATGATAAGTTTTCTTGAATGATTTGAATGAAGTTGGGATTTGATTTGTTTGATGAGATTGTTTTGATTTGATTTGATGATGATGATATAGTTATATGAAGTTGATGATGATGAGTTGAGATGGATTCGATGAAGTTGAAGTTATTGAGAATGGTTTTGAGGAATTGATCGGTGGTTGTTTGGTTTGTTGAGTGATGTCATGATTTCAAGTTGAGGTTAAGTTCGGTTAAAGCTTTCTTAAATTTGACCTTATGAAAAAATTTATTAAAAGGAAGAATAGTCTGGCAGACGTCTGACAGGCGCCTGCCAGCCTTTTTTCAGACTTGATCACGCACACCGGCTGCAGTCCGACTACGTACGGTACTCAATCGGATCGCAGCCGGTATGTAGCCTGCTCTCACCAACCATTTTCAGGCCTGTGAAAGGCCACTTTCAGGCCATTTCCCGGCCATTTCACGACCCCGACGACGCTCAGACCTCACCGACGCTTTTTCTGCTCAAGAACCACTCCGTGGTGTATTTCTTTTTTGTCTTTTTAGAGTCACGCAGTTCTCACAGCACAATTAGCGGTGGCATCGCAGTGATCTTGATGGTAATTATAGCACTCAAAGTTGGAAGCTAAGTTTTTGAAACAACTTACTTTGGTATGGGCCAAGTATCGAGGGAACGCTCTAAGTTAACTCTTCTTGTGGCGCGTGAGCTCGTGCTCGCAAACGGAGTTTTAAGTTGGGAAAGACTGGGTAGTGAGTAGGATTGAACTTGATTGAACCCAATCACTGGGGGATGGATGGTGTGTCGGGGATGGATGGTGTGTCGGGGATGCAGAGAGTTGGGTTTTGATGACTTTTGATTAACAATCATCATTTTGTCTTCTGTGCATTTTTCTTGGTAATTATTTGTGTGATTGGGTATTTTCAGGTGTGGTAGGCCTACGCAGACAGTGAAAGTGGTAAAACGGGGTGATGCCAGACCACAATTTCTCATTTGGACTGCTAGTGATGATCTCTCACAAAGTATTCCATAAATATCAATCAAATTGGCCTTAGATATTCATGTCTGAACTTCAACATCCCCTTACATGTTTTACAAGACTTGTCGAAATTTTGCTTCCAAAACTTTACTTCATATTCACGCTGCTCACTCTTCACCTGATTAATATGGTGTGGATTGTTATAAGGACTATGTATACCATTTCCTAGTCTTCAGAAAAGAAGAATAGACAAGTTGATTTGATTGTGCTCTACCCCAATCACCATCAAGGCATCATATCTTCATGCAAACCAATAAAAATCCACCGAGACGCTAAGAAGGACATACCAATCCTTCATCAAGATGGATCATGGTCGTCCTTTCCAGTGTACTGAATTTGAATAGCCTTCTGACGTTGCTGTACAAGGTTTTTACGAAAAATAATAAAGACATGGTGTTTGGAGCAATCATCAAATGATACCAAATTGCTTCCACTCCAAAGATTCAGCTTTTGACCCTATCAGCAAAGATACTCAAATTAGGTGTTGGAATGAATAACAGGACTTTAAAACTTCACTCTCTAGCTCTTCTGCATATTTTGTTGAATGACACTTGAAGTCTGCAGTCTGCATTTACTTTGGTCGTCCAAAATTCATTAAGCTTACTATATCCTTACCCTCTCTTATCGGCATGCATCTTATACTGACGAAACAAATATGTTCGATCTTGCGAGGCAGTATTTTCGGCGATAGACTGATTAACTCAGCAGCTATTCACTCCCAACTTCAGCTTTTGCCGCCATATCAGGCAAACATTATGATGATTGAAACAGGCTTTTGATCTTAATGCTTAATTGAGGTTAGACATAGACAGTCACAGTAGATATGATCTAAATTCATAAAGTGGATTATCGATATAATCAGGTAGAAGATGCGAGATAAACCTGAATTTGAATCGAAGACAGATGAGAGACCAGGCCAAGGTTGATTGATGGACTTGGGTTTTATTTCTTGACTTGACTTTCTTTTTCATCAAGATTGTGCTGGTCATAAAGCCTTGCAAAGGAGTTGTCGTTTATCTCGTTGGTAGACTTATTCTAAGAGCCCTTGAGCATATCGAAGGATGAGTCAAAGGTGCGACGTTTTAATTAGCTCTTGCAAAGCAGCGGCGCAATGACACTGATCAGCATCGAGAAGCAGTGGAGTGAAAGGAAAATATGATGCTTGGCTGAGTGCATTCCACACTTTTTGGCGTAGACGTCTCCAAGCACCAAATACCTATGAGAAAAGTGTGAAGTGGCTCAACGGAAACCCTTCTCTACTTTGCAAAGAGTGTTTGAAATCTTCCAAAACAGATTTCGATTCAGTTGGTTGACGCAAAGGAGAGCAAATGTTATCTGCAAGGTTGCAAGAAGTTGATGTCGACAAACCACTTCGACCTAATTAGGAGGCGCCGCGCATCAGTGAACACCGATTTTGACTGTCGGCTGGTTCCCGCCGAGGCACGGAGCAGCCAGCCAGCACGTGTCCCTCTCGGTATCTTCAAATCTATAATCAATCCGCGCTGTTCGTTCTTACATTTCTTTTGTACTGGTGCATGTCAGCGTTGAATATTATGATCAAGCTTGCGTCACACTCAGTAAAGCGCAGGCTACATGAGGCTACATGAGACCAATCTTGAAGACTTTCGGGAGGTTTCAATGCGGCAGGCCGTTCGGTGGAGCCTGAGGGTCACTCCAGTTGAAGGAGAAATCTGTTCTTGTACCTAATGATCATCTGGTTTGCAAATATCCCGAGTCCCGAGCCCCTCGCTCAGAATGGTGGGGCCTCATATATACCTGATCAATCGATTCGAGATGATAATGATCCAGATTCCATGCGAAACCGCTCCTCAACTTCAAGGATTGAATAGGAGGACGCTATGTTGTACGACAGTATACGATACCTTGCGTCACAGTCCGGTACAGCTACGCGAAACTCCTATGGTGTACCAACTCAAGACGATCGGCCCCCTCAGCTGAATCGGTAATGTCAGAAACGGGTATGGTCGGATCTAATCGCACTATCTGGTCCACCTAGGCTACCCTGTAGAGCCACGTTCGCTGAAGAGGATTGTCTTTACCTCACATCGAGCCCACGTGCGACGAGTGTCCGGTGCTCATAGAACGCAATGTCCAGCGTAGCCAGACAGCATCAGTGCGCGTGCCGGAACGTGTCCTTATTTCCTTCAGACACAGTAAAACAACCATCATTGATCTCTCGTTTAAGTTCGGTTTTTTTCGCCAGCTATTCAACTTTCTCTCCTTCTCTTTGCCATCACACTTGGTGCCGCACTTATTTCGATGAGCCCGATTTTTTTCTCCATGGTTGAGCGAAAAAATGACTTATAAATCTGGTCTTGTGTGAAATTTTCGCTTTTTCACTATATCTCATTCCCCATCCTTTTCCGCCAAGTCAACTTACAGATCGACTAACGAGGCAGCATCTCACAGATTTCCTACCTACCGATCTTGCATGCGCCATCCAAACCCCGGCTTTCAAAGCTGACGTCGGCTCATACAATCCATGTGCAAATGCCTTTACACCTTGAGATATAGTATTCACTTCCCAGTGTTCATCTTCTTGCTCTTTGCAACCATCTTCCGGTCCTCCGAGTCGGCCGCCCTTCCACATTTAAAAAACGATACCGACGTTCAGATACCACCTTTGGAAACAAGGACTCAACTCGACTCGAAAAATATTGTCGTCCTCGAACCTCTACAACCTCATTTGTCGACAGACACCACTAAGCGACCTCAAATTACGAAGCGGCCCCAGAATGTAACTGACACGGCATTGTTGGACGAGTGCATGAGCAGGCCTCTGAGTCCACAACTATGGACAGAGTTGGGATTGGACGAGTTTCTCCACAATTACCCTGGTGGTGATACATTGACTCTTCCCGTAGGCCGCTTTATTCAATTTCCTCCATGCGGATCAGTCTTCCGTCAGACGCTGACCCAAGTATTGTGCGGCTTCTCTACTTTTGACGCTATCCAACTTCAAAAGCAATTGGCAGATAGAGTCAACTTGACAAACTTTGACTGTGGTATCGAAAAGCCTTGTTACGCTGATCAGGTGCGTCTCAAAATTCATCCACTTTGACCGCGCCGTTTGACGAGAGGTACCCATCAAGGATTTTTCCTTTTATCAGCTCTGTCAACCTGTGCGAGGCAAAGAATGGTACATCTTGGTGGCTGCACAGGAATGGAACGCTTTCATGAACGCAATATATTCAGCGATTGGCTGGGCCATGACTATGATGCAAGGTCAGTAATACTCCGGTTGAGATTCAATTTCAACGTGTCAACTGAAGAGGTTCGATCTTTCATGACTTCTATGACTCTGGCAGGCATCGCTCCTTCAATGGTGATTGAGCTGCTGTTCTATATCTTGTTCTACACAGATTAGTAACTGACGCGTGTCTTGCATGTTTTTTTAGGTCTCCGACTTCTATCCGGACTTACCAGATACTTGGGCAATCATCAAAGCATTCGCTACTCTACTCACCTCAGTCAGCAAAGTCTATCCAACGGAAGGACTGATCAGCTGTACGAAGTATTGGTACCAATTCTTGCAAGGAGAATTTGGACTCTTCGCCGGAATCTCTGGAATGATGGACGATGTCTTAATCAAGAATCCTGTCAATCAACACGACAAGGTAAACCCAAAACTCGGCTAGCCAGTCAATTCTCCTCTCTCTCCACCGTCGTCCAGTTTTAACACGGTGGGCTTCGTTTGATAACTATGAAACAATTTTACAACCAATTCCGTTTCGTCGGTGCATGAAAAATCTATTCAGTGGACTTATTTCTCTTACACGCTCTCTAAAAATCAAGATCTTGCTCAGATGGCCGTTGCCAATCTCTCGCAATCGACTATACAGGCTGGAATCAGCACTGAAAACGGGATCTATAGAGTACTCAAGGACGGTAAATTTTTGACGGATCACTCCGTTGCAGGACCCAAAGCCATAGGTCACATCAATAATCTGGCAGGAGATAAACAAGCCGAATTGAAAGCCTCAGTTCAGCTTCATCTTCTTGCCGCACTCTGGGAACAACAGGTTAGTTATTCTTGTGCATCTCATGTCATTGCGTTTTTTTCGATGAGTGTATTGAGTCACATCATTACATTATTATCTATTCTCCAGCATATTTTTGTCACTCGAGGAAGCGTGAGTCATAAACGTTTAAACCAATCAAGGCCGGTGCTAACGCGGTTTCTTACTCATTGATTTTCTGGGTTGCCTCAGGATCCTTGTACTGACTCCGGACCTAACGGCGCATGGGCGGGGGACGATGTGTTGTCCTTCTGTGGACCAGATAACGTGTTAGTTCCTTCATCGATCTCACAGCTAAATCCCTCCTAAGCTTTGCCATCTTCGAGATTACTGATCGCCCTCCATGCTGCCCTTTCTTGTTACATTCGCGTAGTATGATGAACATCATCCAAGCCGACGGAAAAAAATCAGTCAAAAAGATTTTCAACGCTCACCTCGTTGAACAGAAATATAACTTCTCCATCGGATACCTCACGCAAGCGGCTTGGGAGTGCCAAAAAAAGAGTGGAAAGTTCGAATTTGACGTGTGGAATGCGTAAATAAAATTCAATGCTTCTGAATATTCACTGCTGACGGTATCACTGACTTAAGTTATCATCACGCCATCCACAAAGCACGGACACTGCAAGATTTGACGACCAATGTAGTTTTAATTTGCCTGTTTGTGACCTAACTCGGCCGGGTATGTCCGCTGACATCTATCTATCTTTTTCAAAGTCTATAAATCAGTCATCTAATCTTCATCTGAACTTCAGATATCCGAGCTCACAGGGACAGCGGAGCAGGGACAGTTGTTGCATGTAGAGAAACTGGCGGACTGCCAATTTAGACAATCGCATTAATTTATTATTATTATCAAAAATCTTATCAATATAAGGGTTTAATGTTGTATCAAAAAAGACTGGAGCTAATGTTGAGCATTCAAGTGTACATATAATTTGTGAAAGAACACTCTTCAGACATGATGTAATCAGTACCACAGGCAATCTCGTTTCTTTTGAGGAGAAATGTGACTCCGTTAACTTACTAAACATTTAGAATAGAAATTCTAAGCAGCACGTGGTTTGGGCGTATCCCTAGGCTGAGTGCCCTAGGGTTCTGAATTACTTGAATAAAAAATATATCCCTACGGGGAGGTAGCGGAAAAAAAACGCGCTACAGAGTAAAAACTGAACAACACCTAAGATGAAATAAGAAATACCACAACAAAGACAAATATAATAACCTCTTCACAAAGATCCAAAGACGCAAAGGAAAAATAAGGCCTTAACGAACTAGATCTACACCAGAACCAAAACAACATAAAAGAAACACATACGAAAAGAAAAACTTTGACCAAAACACAACATGACTGGGACTAAAGGGTGGGTGGGCTGATAAAAACTAACTAAAGAACTAATACGATGATAGGATAACAGCACGAGAGAAACGGAAGTGAGCGCGATGGGAATAATTGAATAAGTTGGTTTGATGGAAGAACACAATCAATGACATCATAACTGTAATCATCACAAAAAGGAACAAAAAAGACCGACCCGTCAGTAATCTGACATGTGTAGTTACAGACCAACACCGTGTCCGGGTAGTGTTCGCTCGTCGACGAGCGCGCACGACTTCCCTTTCTGCCTCAAAGGGAGTTGGTGTGCGCTCGTCGACTAGCAAAGCCTACACAGACACGGTGCAACTTATCACATTCCCATCGGTTAATAACCAGTTACCAACATCTAATTGTCGCGATATATTTCTATCACTCCTCTAGTCAAGTGCTCAGATTTTTCGTCGGCAGAAAGAACCGTCTAATTCAATGATCTCAGGCCTTCCGTGCCGTTGCACTTATTAGCTCCATGTGCGCAGTCAATCTCACCCCTCCGTAAAGCGAGATCCTTGATCGTGGATGAGGACATGTCATCAGATTCACACAAACACTAAACACGATCATGTCCAATCGTTGACATGTGTGTTAAGATGGTCCGTGCGGCCGCCAACGGCATGCACAGTGAGAGGTACCCGTCGGTCTGCCCGAGTGACAGCACATGTGACAGCTCGATGCTCACTCTGATCAGAACCCCACTCCTCTGGATCGAACTCATATCAGTCTACACCCTCAACAAAGCATTCCATAACAAATCAAAGCAGTCACTCGAATCACCATGGCAGGAATAGGTATTGCCAACTTACCAAACCAGGTTAGTCTGTCATCATCATCCGTGAAGGAAGATCTCTGTCATTCTATGTAGCTGATCATTTCTCCACTTCATAACTAGCGTCACAAAATTGTCGCCAAACGAGGCGGTCATTTTACACTGATGGTCGTAGGAGAATCAGGTCTTGGAAAAGTGTGTGATTGAAATCATCAATTCAATTACTCGAATTGCAGCTTATTGATCTTGATGACTTCATATCCTCTTTTCAAAGACAACATTGATCAACACACTATTTTCAACAGAATTGGCAATGGCGAAAGACTATCGTCGAAGGTTTGCCAAACAGTTTGATAAAACTACCGAGATCGGTGCGTGTTTCACGGTTTCAGCCAGATACCATAGTCTCGGCCTTTGACACCGGCTCATATGCTCAAAACACAGATATCATCAAGGCCGAACTCGAAGAGAAAGGTTTCAGAGTCAAGTTGACAGTGATCGACACACCTGGATTTGGAGATTACGTCAACAACCGCGAGAGCTGGGTTCCTATAATCGATTTTATTGATGACCAGCACGAGTCTTATATGAGACAAGAGCAACAGCCCGAGCGTGGTGATAAACTTGATCTCAGAGTCCACGCCTGTCTTTACTTCATTCGTCCCACTGGCCACACGTACGTCGTTTTTGGTTTACCTTTCTCAGTGTATCACACCTGATGAAGGTTTGACTCGCCGATAGACTCAAGCCTCTCGATATTGAGACCATGAAGCGTCTTGGATCGCGAGTGAATTTGATACCTGTGATTGCAAAGGCCGATACATTGACGCCGCAGGATCTCTTGACCTTCAAGCAACGTGTTAGTGATTTCAAACCACATTGACCTGACCACTTCCAAGACTGACTGAAATGATTCATTCTCGATACATAGATCAGGGAGGTGATCGCGCACCAGTCCATTCGATGTTACCAACCGCCTATTGAGACTGATGACGAAGCTTCAGCGGAGCACGCGCGACTTCTGATGGTGAGTTTTGAGCTCACGCCACTCTATTTTAAAAGGGACAACAGTCCATTCTGAACGGAGCTGGCTAATCATATTTAGTACATCGAATGAACAGGCTGCAATGCCCTTCTCGATCATAGGGTCCACTGAGGATGTGACTACTGGTGATGGTCGATCAGTCAAAGGTCGAGCGTACCTATGGGGAGTTGCGGAAGGTGTGTAAATATATTACAAGCTATATATGCGTGGAACGGTGCTGATCACGTGGATGGGGTTCCGGAATTTGTAGTTGAGAACGAGGAGCACTGCGACTTTAAAAAACTGCGTTCGCTATTGATCCGTACACACATGCTCGATTTGATCAACACAACGGAAGAGATTCATTATGAGAACTATAGACAGGTTCAAATGGAAACCCGTAAATTTGGAGAGCCAAAAGTCAAGAAACTCGATAACCCCAAATTCAAGGAAGAAGAGGAAACTTTGAGGAAACGATTTACAGAGCAGGTCAAATTGGAAGAAAGCCGATTCCGCAGCTGGGAGCAACATGTGCGTCACTCATTAGAGCTCCATCTCCTTATAACCCATGTTCTTTTCTGGCATAATAATGACTCATCTTCTGATGGCGTTGAAAAACAGTTGATCGCCGAAAGAGACAGGCTCAATAAGGATTTGGAACAAGCTCACTCCTCTATCAAAGTTTTGGAGAGTGAACTGGACAGTATGCAAGGTGGTTACGGCTCTCAAGGTCGAGGAGGTACGAGACGCTGAAGAACAACCGGTGGAAAATTGAAACTCCATATCACAGTTTGTCCGTTTAGAGTCCTTTACCTGCTGTTGAAGCATTGAAGATTGGACGACAAGCATCTTTGTTCATTGTATAATTTTGGTAGCGTATGCGGTATTTTTCCAAGTCATCTTAGGTCCTGTTAGACTCGTCGCAGCTATTGCTAAAACGCAGTTGAACCTCAACTTTTCATTCTTCCAAAGGTTTAATGCCCCCTGACTGTGACCTCTTCATTCTGTTCATCAATCTGTCTATGTGATAGTGAGATAATGATTGTCTTTGAGATGCGGGCCTCACCCGAGAGCAATATATCTTTTGAGATCGGCAGTGTTGAATCTTGTAAATGTGGTGTGGACTCAAGTAAGGATTAGACAGGGAGCAGGGAAGGATTTTTATGACCAAGAGGTTCTATTTATCCATGTTGGATATAATTGATCCAACTGATCTCCTGAAGGAAGATATGTATTATTGGTGAGCTAATGAGTCCTGACCCATAGCCGCCAAGTCTATTGATCAGAATAGGCAGTCAATAAGAGTCCCATCAGGAGGGGCAGGCATGAGCTTTAATGAATGAAAATGATCTATGTCTCCTGTGACACTAGGCCAATATAAGATGCCTCAAATTAGAAATACCTACAATAGGGCTCAACTTCAAAACATTTACATTTTACTTCTATGAATCAGGTAAACTTTATCTTAGGGGGGCTCAGGTCAATCTTTTCAAGGTGTTTTGCTAAAAATTGGGGAGATCTTTTTATGAAACATGCTGTAAAAAGGGTTTCCTGTTTTGTGGAACCAGATTGTCAGCAGTGGTCAACAGCAATCAACAGCTTCTTGGGAAGCCATTAGGGGGCTCAGGTCAAGCAATGTTGCACCTTTGAGCGTACAAAAGAAATCCCACATTCATAATTTTTGCATAACTTTTATGACCTTGTGATTTCTTTAACAACATCTCAATTTTTTTAGAGCAGAAAATTTACACAAACTTACAGCAATAAGAACACCCAAACAAGTGTAAAACAAAAAACACTAGACTTACAATGTGAGGTGAAAAGGCAAAGAAAGGTGTCAAGACTGATATAATAAGTGGCAAAAACCCACAAAAGAAAACAGATTATGGATCAATGATCTCAAAAATCTGTTTATTGCTGTTGACCATCCTGTTCTACAAAACACAAGCCTTTTTACAGCACAGTACCGTAAAAATATTTCCCCAATCTTTGAAGGAAACACCTTAAAAATCTTGACCTGAGCCCCCCTCTTAATCCATAACCTCTTTTCTTTTATGGGTGTTTGCTACTTATTCTATCAGTCTTGACAATGATACCTTTCTTTGCTTTTTCATCTCACATTGTAAGTTTAGTGTTTTTTGTTTTATAGTTGTTCAGGTTGTCTTATTGCTCTAAATTTGCGTAAATTGCCTACTTATAAAAATTTGAGATTTATAGTTGTTCAGGTTGTCTTATTGCTCTAAATTTGCGTAAATTGGATACTTATAAAAAATTGAGATATTAAGGGGGCTCAGGTCAAGATTTTTGCAGCCTTGTCCTAAGAAATTGGGCAAAGTTTTTTACAGTACCATGCTGTAAGGACCTTTCCCAATGTGTAAAAGAATTATGTTGCTGAGCAGCAAATTTACATAAATTTACGCAAATTTGCTGCTCAAAAGAAGTTGGGATGTCTTAAAACTTTCCCAATTTCAAGAACTTTTGTGTAAATTATATGGAATTGGGAGAAAAATATGATCAAAGCAGTAAAATAACTTGATGAATGTTGAGCGCTATTGTAGGTATTTCCAACTTGAGACATCTTATATTCAGGGGATTCAAGTCAATTTATTTTGTGAAAATTGTATAAAAACAGACAAGTTTTTTACAACAGCGTATTTTCAAAAACTTGTCCAATCTCATGAAAGATGCTGTAAATGATATGAGCCCAAAATTAGGAAACTTGTCCATTCTATACAATCTGGACAGCACTGTACCAGATTGTCTATGATTTGGAGCAAATTTTACTTTTATGTTTTTGTTTCCCCTTGAACAAGTCCATCAAATGCAATTTCATCCTCAATTTTTTAATTAATAACCTCTTCAATCTATCAAATAAGATGGTCCATACATTTTGAAGGAAGAAGAGGCGGAGGTTGAAAACTTTTGTTCCATAATGGATGTCAAGGAAGAAGACAATTTCTCAGCAGAGCAGGCCTTGGGCAAAAAGAACATTCCTTCAATTGGTGACATAATATTTGAAGATGATCCAGACAGTGGTGGCCTTATTGATATCTTAGTCAAAAAGACTGGTGAGGCTTGAGATGCATAAGAAATCTTAGAATCTCTATGGTACCACAATGCTCAATGGAAGATGCTATATGAGATGGACGTCAGTATCAATGACCTCCTCCAAAATTGAGAGGTCAAGTTTTGACAATGCATGCAAACCTCTCATACTGGTTTACATGGTGTTCTTGGTAGGATCTCCACTCATCCTATCTTCATGTCCATCACCAACAAGCCACAGCCTCCAGTCATCATTCAACTAGCTCTTGCCCTTGAATGCCTCGGCAGAAACAGAAATGTTTGTGTGGTGCGTAGGATGGGAAGAGATCATAAAGGCTCAATGGGAGCTATCACCAAATGTACATGCTGTGTGATTTGCACCATAATTGACACCATTAAAAACTATGTACAGTGGCCTGTACCCGAGAAAACAAGAGATGATCTAAGTGGTGATGGCACTAGAGGCCTTTGCTGGGTGTGTAGGCTTCATTGATGGAACAAACATCCCTCTGTATCAACGGCCAGGTCTTGATGACAAGACCTTTTTTGATCAAAAGAATGTTACTCCATCAATTGTCAAGTTTTCTGTGACTGTGATCACTGTATCACCGCTTTCTACACTGGATGGCCTGGATCTGTTCACAATAACAAGGCTTTTGCAAGGTTGACACTGTGTAAAAATTCAGAATGTTTGTTTTCTGAAGGTGAGCCCAATTTTTCTGCTTGACTATCATCTAATCTAACCATGTTGTACTTGCAGACATTTGGTTAAAGTCTCTTTCATCATTAGGTGAATATCTATTAACACCATGTCTGTGTGGTGTTTGCTTATCAACAAACGCACACAAGTCACCTTTGTGCCTCAAAGACATTCCGTGTGCGCTTGTTGTTGGGCAACTGCCACAAGGACACAGTGTGAGCAACTCCACTAACAATAATTACAAGGGAATAGCAGCCAGGCTTGAGTGAAAAAATAAAATTAATAAACTCATTTTCACTTGGATATGCTACAAACATACCATTGGGGTATTGAAGTGCTGTTGGACATCACTCTAGGTCTTTGCCTCTACAAGCCAATACACATGGAGTCAATCCTTTGGTGGATTTATGCTTGTTTCATACTACACAACTTGCTTGCTGCGCTGGGAGATCAATGGGAGGAGGAGTATGCTGATGAGTATGCAAATGAAATGTATCAAGGGGTAGATAACTTGGTTTTAGAGATGAATGATGGAATTGGAGAGAATGAAATGAGGCATTTATGCAGAGAGCTAGTGTAAGATGTTGCTGTGGCTTTTGAAGATGAAGAAGAAGACATGTAGGGAAAAAAATCTTTGTTTTATAAATTCACTTGTAATTTTCATGCAAAGAAACAAAGGCTCCCATTTTCATGTTAGGTAACAAACTTGGATGTGCAAATGAATTGATTAACAACAAGTGATCACAAAAAAGTTCACATTTTCATTGATTAAAATGAGTAAAAGTTGACAAACAACACTCTCATTTGCCAAATATCATCATCATATAGTCCAATATTAGCTCAAGAGACGTACCACCGGTGAGACGTACCATGTGTTTGACATCTCCATCACATTCAATATACAAGCCTTAAACACTTCTGAACAAACTTGTGACTCCTCTAATGCATGTGATTGACGTGTCTGTATGTTAAATGTCTCTCAAGACCAGGCAAGTAATGTTTGTCCTTCTGGGCTTTGAATTCACATTTGAATTTGTCCCAGGTCAAAGCTTCTCCTGCTTGAGCATTATTGGCCTCAAGTTCCTTGATGTCATTCTCATTCTTGACCTGGGATTTTGAATTGAAGAAGGCATACTTCTTTTCATCGTGGTTGTCAATCAATGAGTTTGCTGGTCCTCTGTGACGCTTTTGATTGGCATCAACTGATGACAAAGGTTTGGCAGGTTGATTGGAATTTTTGACATTTTTGTTGGTTGTTTGAAGTGGTCTCAGCAGATTTGATTGGTGATGCAGGACTGACTCTCGGATTTGGTGTATTGGTATCAAACTTAGGCAAATGGAGTGGAAATGGTAGCAAAGGAAATAAAGGTGACTGTGAACGTTCAGTTTCATTTTTATCTTCATTTGGACCAAATTTGTCATCTTACTTTTCCAAACAAGCAATATTGCTGTGAGTTGCCAAGTCTTCATCTGAATTGGGGTTGACCTCAATTTGGTTGTCAGATTGAGCATGGAAGATATAGTAGATGGCCGGGTCATCATTGGCAAGCGCGGTAAGAAGAGGATTGATTACATTTCATGATTTTCACTATGATTCCTAGTGTACTCATAGGAGTTGGTTGAATCTAAATTAGCTTCTTCTTCAATCACAGGTTTGTGCTGATCTGTGGTATCAATCCCTGACGCCAGCACAGGGTAGCACATTTTTGGTGCAAAATGCACTGCACTGGTGATTGGCGCTGTGAGGACTGTGCTGCACTGAGAACGCAGCACAGTGGGTCAAAGATGGGAAGTCCCCTGTGCTGGAAACATAAAAGTGTTGTGCAGCGCAGCACAGGGGTGCATGTTTTGAGGGCAGGAATTGATTTGCACCAGCAGGAAACTGCGCTGGGCTGTGGTGTGATTCTGCGCAGTGGCCAAAATATTGCCGGGCCCCTGCAGTGTGAAAGAGAACAGTGTGGTTTTTGGCGGATCCCAAGGTGCTGGGGTCCAGCGCATCCGCAGTTTGCACGCAGTGAAGTGCGCTGCAGGTCAGGGGTTGGTGGTATCTATAAGAGCCTGTGGGGAAATATTTGCTTTGTGTCTGGAAAGGTTGTCCATAAGTTCATAGCAAGGACAAATAGATTCTTGGTTTGCTCAAATACTATTGATGTCTTTAGCAGTATCATTATTCTCATGCCCTTTGCCAGTCAAAGTTGACAGATTCCTTGCCTTGATGTAATTCTCCTTGATCCATCTCTACCACTTCAACAACTCATAACCTTTCAAAACCATTTGATCAGTGTTGTTTTTTGTTGACTTGCAATGATTATCATCATGAAAGACATTGATCATACTTGCCACTGTGCTCCACGCTCCATCATTGCTGAGACCAGACATGGCTTGATTCCAGGTCCAAAAAGAGTGTTATTGACTTTAGGCTTGCTGACCTCCTCAATCAGACGCTCAAGATCCTTGTTATCAAAGAAAGGAATGTTATGAGCTTTCTCTTTATCAACAATTAGCTCATTGTCTTGGACAGGTCTCGGTAATGTAGATGATTTTTTAAAGTGGAGGGTTCAGGGAGACTTGAAAGAATCATTGCATGCTGTTTTGATACAGTCCTCTTAGGGGGTACTGGAGCTTGTGATGTTCCTGGAACTTTGGATCCTGAATCAATCTGGTGGCAGAATTCTTTTGACTTTTGAATCTCAGCTGGAGTTGGAGTTGCATTGGGAGCCAGCTTCAAGAATGTGTTATCCTCCTGGACCTGTTTCTTTGTCCTGTGAACCATTCTAACAACAATCAAGAGTCTCAGCAAACACATCACCTATCAAATTCATTCCTTATAAACTCAAACAAATGAACCTGGTAATTGATTGATTGGGTTCAATTTCATCTTTATCTACCACCAGTGTTATCACACCCTGAATAAATCCTGGCTGGCTGATGCTTGAGACCCAAACATAGAATATGGTCAGTAAGTCAATTGTATACTTCAATGGATTGAACACTGCTTGTCTCACCTTAGTTTAAGCATGAAAGGGCCAATGAAGGTAAAGTACTGATGATTGAAGTTGAAATAGAAATTGAGAAGAGATTGGTTGTGAAGATCATATCTGAAGTAAAAGTTGAGATTCAAAATGGTAATTGACAAATGGTTCAATGTGATGATGGAGAACTGATAAACTAAAGAACTGAAGGACAACTGAAGAATCAAAGAGGTGCTCAAGATATGATCTTGACTTATCTTTTTGAATTGGTCAGCTGTCAAAATTACCACAAATGCGCAGCAACTTGTCCGGATTGCTGTATTAGGGGGTTCAAGTTAAGTTTTTTTACGTTTTTTTACGCTACAACAACTTGCCTGTTGTTGTAAAATATGCGTAAATTTTATAAAACGGGACACCTTTTTAGGTGTCCTGAATTAAAATTAGGTTGGTTTTACACAAAAAAAATTACAAAAAAACTTGCCTGAATTTTAAAAAAATATGCAAAAACAAACAAACTTGAAACCCCCTATTCTTACGCAAATATACAGTTTTATGAATTCGGGCACCCCAAAAGGTGTGCTTTAAACTTTACAGTATATTTTACAGTGTCGGACAACTTGTTGGATTGCAAGATACCATAAAAGTCTTGACTTGAACCCCCCTATTGGCCCAGTGTTGCAGGAGACATAGATCATTTTCATCAATCAAAGCTCATGCCTACCCCTCCTGATGGGTCTCTTATTGACTGCATATTCTGACCAATAGACTTGGCAGCTATGGGTCATAACTCAGGAGCTTGGTAATAATGCATATCTTCCTTCAGGAGATCAGTTGGATCACTTATGTCTAATAGTAGCATAGATAAATAGAACCTGCTTGGTTATAAAAATCTTTCCCTGCTCCCTGTCTAATCCTTACTTGAGTCCACACCGGATTTTCAAGTTCAGTAGGTGTCCGATTCAGTAGTAAATAAGCCCATGTACACATATGAGTTCTGGGTTTGTCTGAAAATCAGGAGGCTGTACCACTTACTTGATACCTTCAAAGACTGACAACAGCACCAAGATTTATGATGCAAGTCAGACAATTCTTATCTATTTATCACATTACTACTCAATGTAAAATGGAATACATAGGGCCATTGTTGTTCCTAATTTTTGAAGCATGATCTTGAATGTGATATTGTGGTTGATTTGTAGCATGATGATCCATATGTCTTTAAATGTTCCAGGAATACACAAATGGGGGTGAGACTCAGTGACTCGTGAGCATAGGTATAAAATGTCTGCAGCATCAATGGCCATGGCTTGTGTCCAAAGTAAATTTGTGTCATTTACCCCTCCCAAGATCCTGGTGGCTTCCAATTGGATACTAAGATGAAGACCATTGAAATATTGCAGGGTCTTATCTTGTGGAGACTTCTCAACATGAGATGAAAGTTGTTTAAATTTTGATCTTCCCTTGCTTGCAGGCTTTGAATTGTTCTCCAGCAGTCTTATCTGAACTCTTTATATCCAAACTTGTAAATCAAATCATTCAAAAAAACTTCAATGCTTGATAATTCTGGAAGTAAATATGGCAAGCTTTTCAAGGTACCATACATGTTGCAATAATTATGAGAATATGTGTTCCTCTCTAGTGATCCCATAAACCAAATCTCAGTACTTGAGGGAGTCAAAGTGAGGGAAGTCAAGAGTTGAGCAATCCATCTTATCTTCATTTTGTCATCTATCCATGCAATATGATCTAACTCATCATGAATCTCTGCCAAAAATTGTTTCAAACCTTTTCCATCTCCAAAAAGTCTAAGATTGCCCCAAATATTTGGAGCTTGGATGTCCCTCATGACATTAGCTGCTGGTGCTCTTGACGGAGGTCACTGCACAGAAGTTGGTGGTTGCATAGGTGATGATGGTGGTAATTGTGGGTGTTGTTGGAAGTGCGTTGCATGCGGCTGTGGAACTTGAAAATGAGGAGCTTGAGTTTGTGCAAAATTTGCATCTCGAGTGTGATCATGATGTTAAGGCTCAAGGTGAAGATCTTGGCAAGAGAAGTGAGGAATCAATAGGCCATCTAGTCTCTATTATAAGATTGTTGCATGAAGGAAATAGGACAGTATAATCTAGTGACGTATATACAAATAGTCTACAATGTGTGACATGTGTATTGAGCCTTTCACAGATAGAGTCATAACACATGAGCAGGAGGAGGATGAAAATGAGCTTGAGGCAGTACAAAGGACAGAGACAAAACAAACTGAGAAGGTGGATCATATTGGTGAGACAAAACAAATGAGGGTTGAGATTCTGCTGGTGTTTCCTGAGCAGAGATTAAAAATTCCAAGATGTCCAAAATTTGGTATGAAAACCTGGCATTGGTTCCTGAGCAGGCATGTAACCTGATTGATTCAAAGGTTGTCTGTCAGCTGCAACACCTAAGTTGTTCATCCCACGAGCAAGCCTTGAAATGGGAGTTTGAGAATGTGGAAGACAGGTTGTGGCATGATGAAGTGGGGGAGGGGTCAACAATAATAGCACAAGGTTCCAAAAGCTCACTGCTAGTATTTTGATGAGGGGGATTATCTCTTCCAAATACATAAGAAATTGCAGGGCTTTCTCTACCATCAAACCAATGTTTCATGCTGAGTGGAAAAAAAAGAGAAAGCCAAAGCATATGGATCATTCATTTTGCATGTCTCCCTCTTGACCCATACTGCACCTGCTGAACTTTACCCTATGGGTTATTAGGGGAATCTTCCAAAACCATGCAATGATAAGTCCCATAGGTGGGGTTTTCATAGAAAGGTGTGGGCTTTGAGGGAGTTGAATGTTTCAATTTCAGTTCCTATTCAGCAGTACAGGACACACTGGGCAAATGTAGTATTTTTCCCAAGTGAAAAATGATTGACCTGAAGGACAAACAAAATTGAAAAAGGTGGAATTCTGCATTCATTCTTCATGTGCATTAACACTGCATTTTTCTGCATTGATGCTGCATTTTTTTTCATTAATGGTGCATTAATGGTGCATTTTTATGCATTAACATAGCATTTTTAATCATTTTTGACATTAATTCTAATCATTTTGCATAGCCGAAAAATACTACATCTGTGCAGTGACAATGCAGAGCTGATCAGCCAGTCTGAGCTTTGAAATCTGGATTGTCTGGGTCATGGTATCTTCCAGGTCAGGGGGGGAGTTTCCTTGGGTTCATAGGAGCCATGTGGTACGATGTATAAGTAAAGCTGAAACGGTGTCCAAGCGGACCAGATGCTCGTGGCGGAACTGCCGCAACTCGACATGCTGGACCGAGAAAATGAGAGCGTTGCGATCTTTGGCAACATTTTGCGCCCTTGGCGTCGCTATCGGCGTTCAAATACACAAAATTCATCACGAATCAAGCGAACAAAAAAATCGATACTTTCACAGGAAACAAAGAAATAGAAAGACCGCATTGCCCATAGATGTATTACACGAGCTCCAGTGTCAGCGCATCGCCAAGGAGGTGAGTTTGCTAAATTGTCTTCTCGCCGTTGCGCGTTGAGGAGAGAGTTACACTACAGTTCCTGCATTCGAGGCAATACGAGGCCAGAGATCTATGTAGAAAGGAACATTAGAACATGATAACTCGAGCAAAATTATAGTCGACGTAGAAACTTGCCTGCGCATTCTTTTGCAACAGGACCAGCAATAGCCGAACCCTTCATCTCCCCTTTCGGGTTCACAATTACACCAGCATTGTCTTCAAAATAGAGGAAGATACCGTCGCGTCTCCTCCACGGCTTTCGTTGGCGAACAATAATTGCAGGATGTACTATGACAGGAAACATGTTTTGTGAGTGATGTGATCGAGCAAGGAGAAGCCGATGCGGAAGTGCCTACCCTTCTTTCGTAACTCAGGTTTTCCCTTTTTAACAGTAGCCATCACCATATCACCACAGGATGCTGCTGGCAATCGATTGAGTCGAGCCCCAAATCCAACGACTGAGATGATCTGAGGTGCGACACATGAGTATCGGTAGTAGGGAATATAATGCGAGCGCTTGGACGTACGTAAAGATTTTTGGCGCCCGAGTTGTCTGCGCAATTGACAACCGCACCAACAGGCAAGGCGAGCGTCATACGGAATTTGGTACCGGCTTTGGCTAAAGGATTGAACAAGCATGAGTATTGGCCTGAGGTGAGGCGAGATAGCAGACTGACCCTTGTTGGACATGGTGAAAGTTGGCGTGGAGGTTGCTGAGAAGGGTACGTTGGTGACGAGCGCTCAAAGGGATGACTATACAACAGAGGCTGCCGACAAAGAATGCCGATACTCTTTGGGTTTAGGGTTTACTTAGTGATGCTCGTTAGCTACCGTACCGGGTGAAATACCCATCACCCGTCCCGGTCCCACATGCTATGGATGACATGGCCGCGCGTCCAGCTCGGTCTAACTCGGTCTCGCTCGGTCCAGGGCGGGTACCCTTGGATTTCCCATGAACTTTTTCTCAATATCAATATCACTATGACCCAAAACCACGCATGTCGAGTGCAACTAACCCAGCTTTCCGCTATCTCGGGATACCACAAGCATGGCTCAAAGCAAGCTGGAAGCCACGACTGCCTCCTCCGAAAACTTCTGGCTTTCTCTTGATATCAAGCTCTCTTTTGTCCCTATACCTTTATGACCGGCATCAGTGTCGTAAGCTACGAGAGAAGTATGTCCACGAACTGCAACACCTTTCACAAGCGATAGTCCTCGACACACCCAATGCTGCAAGCTGGATGCCCCGAAGGATCACTGTCTATGGGGCCCGAATTCCCGAGGATGTTGATGTTGATCGCGGAGCCCAATGGTTCAAGAAGTACGTCAAGGTGTGTATCGCTGTGTTCGTCTTCATAACATAATATTGGCGTTGGATGGCTCGCTGATTGAAATACTCGCCCTGTCACATTTTTCCACAGCCCATGTTGATAGCTGCGGCGATTGACTATCGCATTGAGAATGGAATATCCCCAGGTGCCTTGGGAAGGAAAATTGCGTCGGATATTCACAACGAGCGGATCATCCGAGCTGCTCAGAATGCGGAAGCCTTCAAACAACCACCTGTATCCGCTGGAATGCCCGGGTTTCAGATGTGTAAGTCATGTTCATGTGTCTCACAATTTTCCGGTTTCTAATAGTATCGATCCTCTTTAGGGCATTTTCAACAGCATCGACTCGAGGGGGCAAATCTGATTCTTGGGAGGGCGTCGCTCAAAGAATACCTATGGGGTTTGAAAAAGGGCTATCGAGAACCCTTGCCCTTGGATGCACTAGAGGAAGACGAACGACTATCTCGACAACTTGACGACGAAGGTCTTTTTGATCTAACCGACCAATCTGACGATTTGCTCTCTGAAGGCCTTAGAGGCGTTACTGAGCAAATCAGAATGACGGATGACTCTTGCCCTTCTCCGACACCACCTGATCCTCACCCATCGCAACAACCCGAGAAATATTCCAACTGGATCTCAAATCTATCGCCGTTTTCCCCGTCACATCTTGCCGCACAGTCATCCGAGTCAAGCACAAGTTCACCTGCAGTACTCCCACCGTCCCCGCTACCCAAAACAACCACCTCTCCTTCTTGTTCCTTTCGATCACCTATCGGAATGATTTGGTGGCCTTTGAAGCTTTATCGCTTTTTCAACCGAAGACAAGATGTCAAGAAAGGTGCCGAGGTGGTCAAGAGTCTAATCGTCGGTCGATCTACCCCTATCGTACCACCTACCGACCTATCGGGCTTGAATCAATACTGTGGATGGCTTCCTGCTGATCAGGACGCCGAAGTGCCCATTGACCTTTCTATCAAGATGACTGGATCACCTCACCTCGACTTCCTCTGTCCTGAAGCCGAGCAGCATCTGCGACGATCTTACAAAAAAGCTTTTCGAAATATCACTGAGGAGCGTGCTTTGTACCGTCAGCAATTGAAAGAAAGACTTACTGAGGCTCGGAAAACACAACTCAGCACTGACACCGCAGAGCTGAAAAGCGACTCGACTCTCCCAGAGGGTCTCACTGAGGTTCGACTGCGGCAAGAGGCTCTGTCTAAGGAAAAGAAATGGCGAAATGATCTTGAAGGCTGGAGGATCCTCCGGACCGGTAGTGGAGTGTGTTGGGACGCTGAGATGGCCCAGTCCCTACATGTATATGAGCTCTAGCAAGCGCTTCGGAATACTGAGGGCTTGATCTGCAAAATGAGGTGTAAATGTGATACGACCGGTCAACAGAAAATTCATGTCTGCAATGACCGTTCTATGTTTTCTATTCAAGCACTCTACAGGCTGATCAGTGCTCATAGCTTATGTCAAGCAGGCAAACTCTAAGCTGAAGGTCAGAGTCTATCAGTAGAAAAAGTTCCCCACCTCCAGATCTGGTCAAGACGAATTAGTCAACTTATTTGAGATAAGATGAGACCAGCAGAGAATATGTACCCCAGACGCTCTTCAGCCCTGCCCCCACCAGCTATTTGAGAGTGAGTCAAGGGCTGATCCTTAAAGGTGTTCCCCAAACTACTGACTTCAGTTTCATTAACCCTATAGCCACATTTCATTATTCCCGTTCTCGTCTAACTATGCTTCATTCTCATCTTCATCTGACAGCGCGACAATATTTTGTATTAGCAAGATACTGTGTTATGTTACTGTATGTGCGTTATCAATGCATACAACTCAGACCCATGTTGAGACTAACAGCTCAAATCACTTGTCCAAATCCTGCTAGTCAAATATGGTCTCACTTGAAATCATTCTTATAGGTCACAGGTGAGATAGATGATATCTGGGGAAACAAGCATCCACCTTCCTGGTTGACCCAGCCTGGAAAGCTTAAACACGGATGTTCATAACAAGTCTCACAAGTCTATAGAATGTGATGTACATATTCATCAGCTGCATGAGATCTGCCTTGTCTGAACACGGACCTTCTTTGCCCGTTAACACAACCTCAACTTTTTCTAATCCTATCTGGGAGAAATGTATCTATCAATATTTGAATTACTGTCTCTTGTGGGCTCTCTTTGATCTTCTTTGACTCTACCAATGAAACTGACACTGCCTCTCGTCGGAAGCTACTCTTCCCTTCTTTTGCCCACGGTTTGTTTTATGAGCCTGGAAGTAAGGTGCATCCGCGGTTCCAGCTCTTGATGCCAATTGTGATTGATGTATTGGTGTCATGTGATGAAGAAAATATGCGATGTATGACTGTTTTGAAGCGCGGAAAGATGATCAATTATGTGTTTACTACGGGTACAATTACTTGTGGAGAGACAAGGTCACATAAATTAAAATAATAAGGAAAAAGTAAAGAAGAATCACATGGTCAAGACATTGCTCATTTCAGGTCTTTGTATCACGCTGTGAAGTGGCTCCCACGAGCAACGCCTTATTTGTTTGTGTCGAAACATGATACTAGGATCAACTTCAAATTTAGCAGCAGCTGGCGCAGCTGTAAACAAGAAAAATTATCCTCGAGTCAATTGCAGGTCTGCGACAGGCTGGTTATTGGTTCGCGTTATCAAACTACGGCTACGCTTCACTACCGCCTGTCACTATGCGGGAGATGAACTCCACCTCGCCCCGAATGAAAGACATCTTGGAAAGGTTAATCTTGGTGTGATGCTGCATGCAAACAAAAACTTTTACAAGGTATGCATACTCTGTAGCATGACGGCTGTGGTGGGGTATTGCTGACATACCCGATGAAAGCTCAAAAGGCCCACTCCGGCTCATGGAGGGTGATAGTATGCGCACCAACCAGATTTATGATTGAGGTTCAAGTTGTAGTGTTCTGGCAGTGGTGGGTCGGTCCACAAACAGATGAGGTCGGTCGAGAAAGAGGAGGAAGATGCTAAATTAAAGAAGTGAGCATTAAGCGAGAAGTACCCACATGGGGTGGTATTTTTAGTACTCTGTAGAAGAACACAAGTAAGAAAGTTTAGGCCAGAGTGATGATTTGATTATTACCCCACCGATAATTTGTATTCTCGTTTGGTTTCTGCTCAGATGTTGGTGATGTTGTTCGGAGATGGATTCCTTACTCTCCACTTCGGTACTTGTCGCGCTTATATTGACATGCAATGGGGTAGTATAGGAAAAAAAACACTGCTATCCTCATACGGGTCGGCTGGTCTGCAAAAGAAAATCTCGGATGACCTTACTCCATGACTTGATGAATAGAATGACGGCTGCAACCTTCCTCCGAGCTCAGGACTGGAGTGATCAATAAGAATGAGATCACTCGAAGACTGAGTACATTATAGGTTGTCAGTTAGACCTCTAGGCTTGATACCAAGTTGGCATCGAATCCTGATCCTGACTTCTGCTATGAGTCCTTTTGCAACTTCAACTTTTCCGTTCAGCCACATCTGTCTGTTCCCATCTCGACCACCATCCGTTTTCACTGACCACCCCTTCTCCCGGCCAACCAGTGATTCGTTTCGGATACTTGACTTTCCATGTATATACCATTTCGCCCGAAGTCCATTCCCTTTTATTCTTCCTCTGACTTCTCCATATTCTTCTCCGTCTTCTTCAAACACACGTCCCTGTCAACGACGATAGCCCTCTAGATTGTTCTTTATATATCCCTAAATCTTTTCCACCCCGTTGGCCGGATATGACTTCATTGTCAGCTCCTCTGCTCTCTTCTCCTCAAGGCCCCTACTGGCTCTCCTTTTTCATCGTCCTTACTCCTAGTCGCCACATAATCTCAATCCACAAACACCCACTCCGCGCTGGTCAATCATATCTCAATTGTCAGTTAATTCACATCCCATCATCATCGCTCTGTTCCCGTGAATTTTCAGTCTTTGTCTGTACAGCGGCGTACCTGAAACCCGGGTGGGGTGCCGGTCTCCTCGAAAGAGCCTACGTACCCTCATCTCCACAGCCGACTCCTCCGCGCTCGTAATCCATAAAGCGGAATAGATGCCGGGATGAATGACTTTAGATGGATAAATTTTGGCGAACCAACACATGCTGTCTCGTTGCTACTCTCACACGCACGTATGCAAGCCGCGCACACGTGCGCGACCTGACGTATCTCTCTCGCTTTCTCGCGCTTGGCATTGAGTACTCTGATCATATGGATTCCAGTTCACTTTCGGACAGCCTTGACACTTCATACGAATCTCACTTTTTCATATTCAAACAATTCCACGATGCTTTTATATATCTTCCCCAGACCTCTCCTGCACAGTACGCACTGTGTCATTGGCAAATTTTTCGTCTCTCCTAACGCTGGTAAAGCCGTAAAGCATGCCAAAAAAATGACGCCAATGCAAAACTCTGTAAAGTCAATCGACGCTCCGCATTGAGCAGTCACATCCGTCAAAGATTATCTTGAGCTGCGGATTTTCAGTGTTGTCTTGCAGTCCACAACCTAGCCACTGGATTTTGTTTCTTTTTAATATGTTTTTTGTTTTCTCTTGCTTGGTTTTCTCTGCTCCCGTATTGCAAGCTTTCAAAGCGGAAGAGGTACCCAAATCAATTTTGGGTCAATTATCGAACAGCAGCGTTGCCTGTCACGGTACACTCAAGGCATAAGTTTATTCACGCTATCGAGACATACCAGCAAGGTCTTGGGCTCGTCGAAGACAAATCTAAATCTTCATATTGTCCTTTTTTTGCTATTCTCGAAGGTGGAGGTCTTACGGGCCAGGCAAATGAGACCCCCTCTTCGGTCGGGTCTCTGACATGATATCTGTCCAAATAGGCTTACAAGCTGACCGGCATAACGTTGGGTGAGTGGTGTAAATCCCAAAAGTGTATCTTTTGAATCTTGATTTGCTTCATTCATCTAGCTGGACCACGCTTCTCGTCTGTCCATCGGCATTGGTCCTCGAGGGTCTGGTATGTCAGACAGAGAAAGAGACAGAGAAATATGATCTCCTGAGAACCAAGGTACAATAAGATTACCTTCGTGCTCAGACTGTAAGTAATCTGGGGCGGATGGATGAAGTTTGATCAAGGCCACCGATTAGACAAGAACGTAGAACTTTCAAGTTCGTCTGATTGATAGCCGCCTCCAATCCCACCGTGAAGCCATCTGAATCTGCTCTTCATTCGTATTACATACTCATTATTTCGCTTTCTGCGCCTCCGCGTCTCTTGAGCTGACTGAGTAAAGTTTCTGTGGTGAGACAAAAGTCACTTTCACTCCTTCTTCATCTACCTTCACTCTCTCATGGAGATCAATCACCATAATCGACTCCAAAGTCTTACTTGGTATCATGCATCAAATTTGGCAACCTCAAGATTTGATCATTGCTCGCGGGCCTACTTTCTCTCTTGCTTCAATCTGCAAAGATTCTTCGCCTATCATTTCATATATCAAGCGTCATCTACGCTTTTCCTCTCAATTTACTCCTGTGTCCCCAATCAAAGACCTGTTCCTGAAAGCGCAAGATTCGCCTTTCGGAATCGCAGGGAATATCTAGCCCTTGGAAAATACCTTGCTTGCTTGTCTTGTCTCCATCGCTGGGCTCACACTAAATGGTTGATCTTGACTCTAGCGTCTTCAAATCTCTTTTTGTCCCGCTTCCCTTGTTGGCCGATTTTTTTCGCCGGCGCGAATCTTGACCTGCGTTTCCTGATTTGAACAATTAGTCGTATATTCTCTTTCCGATCTTCGTTCTTTTTATTTTGTCTGGATATTCTGCTTTATCGTCAAAGGGTCTCTGTCAGCATGACGGAAATGATTTATATTTGAAGCTGACTTTTGCATTTTCTGCTCATTTTTTCCAAAGGATCACTTTCTTTATCTACACCTTAGCAATCTTTTCGACTTGATAAGAAAGTATACCATTTGTATCAGAATCGCTTCGGAAAACTCGCCGAATTTTTCAGACGTCCTGGACGCGGTAGACAAAAAGTGTAAAATGGAATTTACTGGTACCATTGCCACACCTACCAGCGCGTACCCAAGTTTTCATCCATTTGATCAATCGAAGTTGTTTCATTCGGATATTCCATCACCACCACCATACCCCTCGCTCTTGTCCACCACCCAAGCTCAAGCTCACTGCCACACTTCAGTGCCATCACATCATTCATCGGGTTGTCTGCATTCTGATCCATCCTCACCTTCGCCTATCATCCAACCCGCCGTCACTGGGGCTTTCATCAATCAACACCATCAGAATCAGCATTTGGCTGGAAATGCGTATGAAGTCAGCTCTGAAGAAGATCTTCCTCGCTGGGAAACTAGCCCTCGTTCTCCATTCTCGTCGGATTCTTCCATACACCTGCATCAACTACCCGCGTCTGCACTCTTACCTTCAGCAGTCACGTCTTCTCCGGGGATCTTGACGTACGAGTACTCCTACCCTGCCTCAATTTACCATCACCCAAATTCAACCACAGCTAGCTATCATCCACATTCCCTTCCTCCCCCAACTCCACCGGCACCGGCTCCGCTCAACGTTCTTCCGGGGTCTTCGTCTTCCAGCGTCTCGTGGGGGACCTCTCATGCTACACATCCTTCTTCTATAGCAAGCGCACCAATTGGTCATCCTGATCCACGAAGTAGAAGCTGGTCTCCCGACTCTTATGAGCGCGCTTCGAACATTCATCATTTAGAACTTAAGCGCCCGAGAACAGACCCGGATCTGTTCAACTATGCCGGTCCACCGTTATCAACTTCTGAACCTTTCCTACTACCATATGAAGGCTCTTATCCTGCTGCATCCCTCTCAAAACACCGCTCTTCTGGTGCTTCTCGTCGGTTGGTTGAGGCTCAATTTGATAGCCCTACGGTGATAACATCATTGAAGAAAAAAAAGCGCGAGGTTCGTGAAGCATCAGCTACTTGTGGAAGATGTGGTCGTATGATGGGTCGTCTCACCCTCCGAGGAAGCGCTGAAGAGATGGTGGTAAGCGGTGGCTACGAAATTGTCCAAACATGCCGAGAATGTCAAGGCATCAGCGGCACTGCAGTCTCCGGTGGCGTGGAAAGGCAAGTCCATATCCCTTTTGGTGGATGTACCACTTTCACCGTCCAGATCCCAACAAGCACGACGATGCGCAAGCGAAATCGACGGACCGACGACGTCACTGCACCTACAACTTGCGATTGCTGCGGTAGGCAACTAGGCGTAGGAGGAATAGTGGCCCGAAACGGACGCTCAGCTATCCAGTTTGCAGTCGAAGTTGTTTGTGTTGGATGTGTAGAACGATATAGAAGATGTACGGACTGCGGTGGCGGAGGCGGTAGTCGCCTAGGGTGAGTACATCCCTATGTTCCAGTCATACCCTGTTTTCTTGTCTATGTATTTGCTGATGTCTCGTACTCTTATTGGTAGTGTTGGAAAGTGGAGATGCAAGGAGCTGTTCTCTGATGGCAGACGAACATGTGTACTGTCGCATCAACGTCAAGGCGGGAATGGAGCAGGAGAGATACGTAACGTCGTCTGGTCAGTGGGACAGATAGACTTGGACGAAGTGATTGAACAAGTCAAAGAGTTGGTCAAGCACTCACTATATGCAGCATTGGCAACTCCCGAGGTTTGTATTCAGTGTATCTTTCTTGTCGGAGGATGTAGGGCTCACATGAAATTCTCTCCAACAATGTAGATGCTCGAGTCAGGAGTTGCCAGGGTGACCAAATTTGATGACATCAACACCATGTGTAGGTCGTTGAATGCAAATAGAGATACTTGTCATCATGTTGACCAAACCTATCACCTTTTTTGTCAACAGATCTCAATGGATGGAAACGAATCGAATGCATGATGAAGAACGATGTAGAGGCAAGGGAAGGAAGACGGAGATATGTTGGATTACGATGGTCGAAGCCGCATCCTCGAAAGGGACCCAAGAGACAGACGCTCCCGGTTCCAGTGAGCGAGGAACCAAAGAAACGAACCCTCGTAGAGCCGGGGAAAGAGCTGACCGGATTTGTGCTAGCTGAGTAGGTGCCTGTCTGCTGTAAATCTGATGAAGACCCACCAGGACCTGAGATTCACTAGGTCACTCTGATGATTTTATTTTACAGGTGGGATATGGAGAAAGGGACAATGTTCATTGCTGTTGCTATGCCTTGGCAAAGTGGTGATGCGCTTGAGTCGACCTCTTGCTTATCACACGAGACCTTGCTCGTCGCACGAGCTGATCGCGCGGAACTGATCCAGCGCCTCGTAGGGTCGGGCCAAATGACCAACGAAGAAGCCATTGAGCGATTGCCCCCGATAGAGCACCTGTAAATATTTCGTTTTCTTGCGGTCTTGTATCTTGTGATATCTATGTGAAGACTGACTTATTTTTCGGGTTGAGTTAGTTGGACAACCCTCTTCTTTGAACGTGATAGCCGCCTAATTCAATTCATTGAGAAACGCAAACAATTCAAGCGCCTATCAGAATATCTCTCTACAAATCGTGATGTTTGCGTCGAGGACTTTCGCCAATCTTTTCTTACTGAACAGGAATTGGCTACAGGAATTTGGGAGACGTGGGTCAGAAGAGAAGGTAGTACAAAAAAATAGTCATCTTTAACGGCGAGGAAATCGCGAAACGCCACCGTTAGAAGTCCCATGACCTGGAAGGATCGTGACCGCGCCTGAAATTTTCCAATAATTCTTCTATGTGAAGTTCTTTTTTCTGATATATCTCTCTTGTAAGGCCTAGTTTGTGAAACACATTTGTTATCTTTCTTGCTCTGATTTCCATCTCACTCTAGTGGTTTGATTAACTGTTATCTCATTTTTCCTATGTCGCACGAAGTGCCAATTTTCCTTTTCCTTTTTGTGCTTTCGGGTTCTATTGCAATTCTGTACTGTCTCAAATAGATCATGATTTGAAACTTCAGTCACTTTGGCTGGCAGCTTGGGGTGTGATCTACTGGACGGGATCATGATGAAATGCTGGTTGGCAAGACCCTTTCACAGCGAGTAAAGAAACCCTACTAATAGCATCCTACGAATACCCTGTCTCATTTCTTCAAAAGTGGTGCTATATGCGTTTAGGCTTTGAACAGGCATATTGAGAAATTACTTGTGTTTCTGTGGCAGGTTTCCTCAAGATGCCTCTTCCCTCTATGAATTCACTCAATGTCTCTCCGAAGAACTTGGTGATATGACACATTCAGCACTTCATTGGTTGGCCAGACATGAATGCATATGTTATTCAGCTCTACTCGAATAGTATCAACCAAAGCCATCTCCATTGGTGCGCTTAGAAAGGCCCCAGTTTGTTGAGTGTTACTGACTCTTTCATTCCTAAAGCTGTGGAGCCTCAAGGATTTGTGTGTTTGGGTGTACATAATTGAAGTATTAATGTGATCTTAATGGCTTATTAATACTCGTGGTTACTTCTTTTCTTTTATGACATCATTACACTTGTTATAGGTCAGATAGATATGACATCATTCTATTTACTTTGATATAAAGATGTTTTGTGCTCTTATTCATTTGCCCTTTCTCTTTATCCAACTTAAACATTTTGTTTTGTCACAATCTTCTCTCATCAGATTGTTCTCATCCTTTTCAATCAGTGTGCAGCTTTCGCTGATTCTCACAGGTAATAACCATTTTAAGTTACATTGTTTGAGAGAAGATTTAGTTTGAGTATATGAGTTTGCAGTCGTTACCCTGGCTGTGAACTTTGATGGTTCTAAATTGACTGAGTCCCTCCTCAAATGTTTAGATCTGGAGTCTGGACTCTGAATGGTTGGACTCCCAAAAATGATCCACACTGCACCATGATTACCTTTTTACTTCCAAACTGAACTTGTACAGTAAGAGATCAATGCTCTTCAAGAGATACATTGACACAGTAAGTTGGCATCTTTCCTATCAATTTGCATGAGGGAACAATAACTTCACAATCTACGGGCCAAAATCTGAATCAATGTGTGACACAATCATTTATCCCTGACACTTGTGGACACTCAAATATAATCAAGTCCCTCACCAGAGGCCCGCTGAGCCTCGGTACTTTGGCAAGGAACTTGGTTAAGTCTGGTGGAGACCAGACTTCTTTGTCTCCACATCACATACAGACCAAGTACAATTTTTTAGTTGCAACAGGTCAGCATCCATTGAATACCATTCACAATTTTATCATCCCAATGGTCTGTGGCAAGCAAAAAGTACTCAAAGTTCTCACCAATGAGCTCATGAATGAACACTATCAAAATTGTCTGAGTCAAACACACCGTGATCAACATCAGGGCTGTGACCCAGACTTGGCCCTGCCCAGCCAACTCTGCCGGATGGTTTTCACAGAGCTGACAGTACGCGCCCTGTGGCATTTGTACTTGACTGGATGGCAGTTAAAGATGGCCCCGCAGGCAGAATGGGCAGCTCAGTTGCCTGACCTGCTTGGAAGCCATTCCAACACCTTTTCCGCCAAACATATCTCACAATAACCAGGACACAAGGTTGTTAGGTCTTATCTTGACAGACTCAAACTCCTACAGTCAAACCCGCGCAAATGCATACCCGCGCAGGTGCATAACCCGTGATAATGCATAGAAAAAATCTAGAATCTTGATGCTTTTTACTGCCAAATTTGACAACAGAAATGCATAACCCGTCAAAATGCCTAGCAAAAGCCTTCCACCCAAATTATGCGTTTGCGCGGGTTTGACTGTATTGAGCTTCAAGGATGCCCTGCATCCCCAACCTGGCATGCCCTGGTTGGCCGTGAGGAGTTCTGAACGGTACCCGGGTCTACCCAAGGCCGGATATTCATGACATTTGTAACTGATCACATATGTCAAGACTTTTCTTTGATTGTCTGAGATAACTCAGCATCAACCTTGATTGAAATTCTCAGAAGGTGATGCCCTCCAAATGATTACACTGTATGTCCTTGTGAAGATGTTTTGACACATGTATCAAGGTGCATAAGAACAGATGAATGAAACACATCCAGAGTATCTTTGATCTCATTGAAGTAAAAATGACGTCTAGCACTGAAGAGAATGAAAAAAAACAATGAGGTGACTGAACATTCATTTTGACAGTTGTCTAGTCACCTTTATTAAATATGCTCCCCCAGCATACCACATACCTAACACATGGGGTATATAAGTGCCCACTTTTCTGAACCACTTTGTCAGGGTGGCTAACAAAACTACTTACTAACTACGCTGATCTAGTAGTGAGTTGAGCCCTGACTAGGTGTTCCGCTGGGTACGGGGAACTAGTAAGTATTACTTCTTAAAACAAAAGAAATAAGATATAGAATAATCAGTTACACTGATATCTGGTTGAATGGTTTTTAGAGAAAACCCCAAAGTTACAGGCCCACCGCAAGTGAACAGGTGACGGTAGGTCAGACCTGGGCCTGGAGTGTTTCTCAAAGCTAGAAAGCTAGGAGTAGCCTGAGATGTGAAATCTACAGGGATCCTGCCAACAACAAGTGTTGCAGAACCTGGGTCTATGACCAATAGAGACAAAGTTGACTGACCATTGAGGGGGAGATAAGATTCAAAGGTGAGTGGATGTAAGATTTAGAAATGGGTAGACTGGAAGTCCAAGTGACACTGATTTCTAGGGTTGTTTTAGATTCAATGGGAGCAAGGGAGTTATTTGTTGGGAATGTCTTGTCAAGCTGGCAGTTGAACAGAAAAGGATACTTTGTTTAGACAAGTCTCAAGAATAGTTGGGGTCTTGTAAAATCAGGCGCCCTCCTATCTTCTTGTCTGGAGGGTCTAGTATTTTTACTTTTATGCTCACCACCATTGACTTGTGGTTACAACAATGGTAAGGCTCTTATCTGGACCTATATGGCTTGGTCATGGGGACCTCTTCTGGGATTCAATGTGTTATCCCAATTGGGTTAGGTCCAGTTTGCAATGTAAGGTTCTCTAATTTGTTGATTCTCACATAAGGAAACTTCCTTGTTTTGTATGGTTCTTTGGTCTAGTATGTTTCTTAGTCACCTCTTGTCGTGGACTACTGTACTAACCATTTGTGAAATTTCTGTTGCTTTGGGGATTTTCTCATATCAAGCTTCCTCTTCTGTTTTCCTGGGTCTTTGAAACTAGACCTTTAAGTTGTATGGTTTTTTTATTATTTTTTGTAGTTTTAATAATTTTATTCTTATGTGGATAATTAAATATAAACAATAATTGATCTTATAATACTAGATCTTGTTAAGGTGTAAAAGGGATGTGTTTTATCAAAATATAAATGTATAAGAAATATGTATTGTGTGGATATCCTGAAGTCCTTTTGGTTCTCCTTGTGGAGAACTCAAGGGCTGACACACTTGGTAAAAATTATTTTTGGGGTAGTGATATGAGTGGCGGGTTCTGCTCTTGACATTTCAAAAAATTCCTTCATTTCCATCTTTTTATCAAGGTGAACATCAATATTTAGTTTCCAAATTTAGGTGATTTGTTGAACACAATGTTTGAATCTTAGTGATCACTTTGCCATTGCATGCTTGGTAGATGAACCTCAATTTTTTGTTTCAAAGTTCAATTCTGAAATAAATCAAGTGTTATCTGCTCAAGTTATCAAGCAAGACAATTTTGTACGCATTTTTAAGATCAGTTGAAACTCAAATGACTACTGACCCTTTGAACATATTCAACTCCTCACTTTTGAACTGACATACCCATTGAAAATATTGGTCATTTGAGTCCATTTGCAAATCATTTTGAAATGGCTTGCAGCTCCTTGGATGCAAGTGGACTTGTTTGAATTTCCTAAACTACCACAGAACATTGAAGAGTTTGAAAAGGGTTTTCTCAAGATGCATTTTGCCACAAAAAATACATCTGTGACTTTGAGAAATTACAACAACCCACAATCTGGATACCATCTCTCAATCTATGGTTTGGATTTTGACTGGTTCTCTTATTATTTCCAAATACCTTTCAAGACAGCAATTGTTACATTGAATATTTCTGTGAGAAAAACTTTGAGATGAAAACTCTAACCAACTCAAATCATCATAAATGACCATTTACCTAGAAAGAAGTTGAAGTTGGATCTCCCAATTTTAAAAATGTTTGAGGTTTCATGCCTTCTTGGTTCTGAGATTTGTGTCTTTTACTTTTGCATTCAATCTAAGATAAACAAATTGTCTCAGCAGGCCCTGAACCGGATATTGCTTGGCTTAAATTGAATTCAAATGCAAGGAATCTCAATGATTGGAAAGAGTTGAACATCAGATGCTTAGATGGATTGGGACATCCTGAACATACAGTACCAAAAGTCAATTTCCTTTACAGTTGAATGATATGGGTAGACCTTCTCTAATTGCAAACTTTTTGCATTCTACTCAACCTGGCCTGGATTTGCTGGTCCCCCAATTAACTTTGATGTGTACCATCAGGCCCGGGTCAATGAACTTTTCAATGTCAACCTTAAATTTCTTACTTATTCTTGTCTTCTCTACGTAAAGTATTGGTCATGTTCTTGTTTCCTATTTATGATTGCTCGGACCTCAAAGCTAATAACTTGTAAAACCTTGGTCCTTGTATTTAATCCTCATCACGGTTCATTTATAATACCTCAAATCTCACTGTTTTGCAAAACTAAAAGGCCAACAAGGATAGTCTAGATCCCCTTTGAACCAAGAAGGAAATATGTGATCCAATCTCATTTAATGGGGACTCCACGCCAAAGGAACGACATGTGGAGAGTTTCCATAGGCGTGAAATGAGGGTGACAGAAATGTAGAGTCTGCCCATGTCACGTCCTAGTGACAGGGGTGGTGACCCGTGGGGAGAAGTGGCGCTGGCAAGGTTGAGGATTTTCAACCGGCAGAACACTTCTCCTCAGCATCCGCGGAATCACAGTCTACGCTCTCTAGCCGTCGAATAATTTCTCTATCTCTCACGTTTCTCTCATAATTTTTCTTTTTCAAATCATAATTTTTCTTTTCATCTGAATACCTCAAAATCTCAAAAAAAAAACAACAACAAGTTTGGAAAGTAGAAGATACAAAAATCAAGAAACAAT